GAAGTACCCTCGGGTGTACCTTGAACAGGATGCTGCCCAAACCCACACCCAATACATCTCATATGAGTAGGAGTACTGCCACTATGCCGCGGGCGACATCTTCTTAAGTGGAAAATCGGTTGCCCGGCTTCCTCTCACATTTCTCCCCCCAGCCATCGATAGTGTGTGTGTGTGGGCAGAGGTGAGCCTGGGCCACGCACAATTGGTTGTGTGTGTTTCTGGGTGCTCCTTGTCTGAGTTACAATTTGTTTTTTCCGGTTTTTCTTTGGCAGTTTTTCTGCCACAATTACCCACAATTTTCACGCTTGCAACTCGGACTAGACTGCGCGACTTGCCTTGGTATTTGTAGAGGAAACAACACTAATCGGTGGTGGTGAGGGGAATCCACATGATGGTTGCCTGAGTTTTTCATGTCTTCATTTGTGGCTGGTAGCTAATCGTCGTGTTAGATTTAAGCCCACGGTTCAATTGGATTTAGTTGGGGGGAATTGTTTTGGTTCCCATGAAGTACTTGAAGCTTCCCTCTGACCGTCTTGCTTGTAGCTATTTTCTCAAAGGATCTCTTTTCCCTTCCTGTCTCTCTGTCTCTCTGTCTCTCTCACCCAGAGTGGCTTAGCTTAAATCGAGAAACGAACACATTTCCTGTATCCTGAATATTTTCACTGAAGCAATCAATTCCAAAGATACACAATGGTGGGGACAACTATGAGCCACCATTCTCCATGCCATAAAAGGTATCCAGGGACGACCGATGACAGGGGATTTGCCTAAGCTTGTCGAAGTGGAAACCACTAATAACAGAACTTTTTTGGCAGTAACATCAACCAGATTCAGTTTCAGTTTCAGTTTCACTTTCTGTGCCACATGCCACAACTATGTGCTGCTGCTGACCAGCGAAACCGCAGCAACTCAAACCACACCCACAACCACCCATCGATGATGGGTTCGGGGCTCGGGGGTCTTACACTTGGTCCTCAGCCATTGGCAAATTCATTCAACCTCATAAATCTAAACGGCACCACGCACTTACTCTTAATGACATTTTATTACAAAAATTTAACACAGACAGCCAGCGAGAAAGATACAAAGAGAGACGGGGAGAGCAGAGGAGATGTGGGAGTGGTAGCGATAGAGATGGTTATAAACTGAGTCGGGAAAAATCTCTTTTCTATATAGCATCCATGGTGGGTCCATTAAGTAACCCGAAAATTAATATGCAAATTGAAGGAACTTTTTTTTAATTGAAAATCGGTTGTGTGGGTTACATTTCCATGAATATTAAGAGTATTAAATGGTGTGGGATTACAAATTATTGTGCTGCATTTTGCACACAATTTTCGAACAGTTTTCACAATCTCCCCGTACATCTTGCTCCTCCCATGCAGGGCAAGTTACATCTTATCTATTTATAAAATCTCTTGCCCATACTCAGACTCCCAATTTGATGGCTCTGTGCATTTCAAATTGTGTTCCCTGTCATACTATTTTTATATTGATATCTTTTGATGTTTTTCCTAAACTTAGTGAACATAAAATCACGCACTCCATTAATTAAATATCTGAACGAGTATTTGTGGCTTCAGAAGCGGAGGCCGAAGCACTGAGATGTCCACAGATGGCCAATGTCTTGGCCAGTTCTGGTCGCTCGCCTTTTTGTTATTCTGGAAACATTTTGTGGATAAAGTAGATAAAAAATATACACCCCAGCCGTTCACAGTCCCCGTATTAACATATCTTATGGCCAATACGAATAAACAATTGCATTGCGATAAATAAACGATTATCAAGAAAAAATCAAAAGGCAAAATGAAAAATGGAAAAGGGAAATCGGGGGTTTTGTTTATTGTTGTAAGACGTACGCATGGTCCCCATTGATAGTGGTGGCATCATCGGGTTTCCCATTCGCTTCGCAATATCTTTCTGGGGAGTTCGCGTCGTAGGATTATTTCTTATTTTCTTTCCGAATCGGGCCATAAACAATTTTCCAAGATTTCGTTTTTATATTTTTAGATTAAAACTGCAATCGGCACAAACACTGGGACTACAACAACACAGACAAAGAAAGACCAAAAAAAAAACAACAACAATTTTTCGGATTTTATTTCGAATTGAGATCGTCGCGAATTTATGCTGAGATCTGGTGGATCGATCCTCTGTGGATCCGCTATAGCCGCGACCGGCTCCTCTCGGTCAATCGGCAGCAGACACTGTCTCGGGGACTCTCGATGTGGGTGCGGGCTCGTGGCATTGGTGCGCGCGTTCGCTGCCAACGATAACAAACAACTGAAGGCGAATCGAGTGGCGAGCCGAGCGCTTGCAACATGTGGCAGGCATGCGGCATGCGGCATGCGGCATTTGGCTAGTGGTTACCCCTTGCTCCTTTACCGAACCGAACCTCAAGCCCACTCATTCAACAAAACGGCTGCTGGCCAATCTATGAATGAATCGAGAAAAGCTCACAAGCGTCGCGTACGTCCCACCCGGTATGCAAGTTCAAGGTGAAAAGCTCTCTCTTTGTCTCTGCAAAAGCTCAGGAATGTTTGCCGTTACAAGAGGTTTACCATTCAATTTCGATGACCGTTCAGCACAAAACTGTTATTAGCATTGTGTTAATATTGAAATTAGACAAAAGTTCTCCTCTTACTGAAACTCGCAGGATGCTTGCTTTGTTCATGACACCGGAAACCGACTAAAGACTACAATTTTCACCTCATTTGGAAGCTTTTTTTTCTCTCTTGATCAGAATTCGTTAAGCAAGCAATTCCAAAAAAGTTTTCCACAAACATTATTAGTTAAGCTCCAAACATCATACACAAAAAATGTATTACAAAGTATTCAGGTATTATTGATTCAAGTTCATCCCACCGTAGTGTGACCGAGCGTGACCAGCGCTGGCGCAGCACAGCTCATTGATCAGACGATGAACAGCAGATAGCAGATTGCAGCTCCAGGTCGAAAACATCATCACACCCGTTCTTGTGAACTCCTCTCTCGAGGAGTGGATGCTTCAGCAGGACAGCAGTTTCAGGACAGCCCAATCGATGCTGCCCAGGCAAGCGGCAGTGACCCTCCTTGTAGCGGAACAGAGAAAGGTCACAGTCTGAATGGTCTTGCCGAGGCCCATCTCATCGGCTAGAATGGTGTCGATGGCCTGGCCACAGCTGTGGTGAGGCCAGCGCAGCACATGGGTTCCGTAGCGTTTTTGGAAGGACCAGCGGAACTTGGTGCTGATACTGCTCCATCCCATAGCTGAGGTCTGTCTGGCTTTAACGACAGTGTGCAAGTAGGGCCGAACGATCCATACCTCAAATGGAACTGGTGCACTGATGCGGACGCTGATGATGTTGTTGCTTCTGCATCTGTTTGTGTTGTTTTCTTGTTGCGGCTGCTGATCCTGTTTCTACTTCTTTTGCTGAAGCTTCTGCTGTGTGTGGTCTATGGTTTTTTTTTTTTTTTTGAGTTGTGTTGCTGTGACTGAAAGAATAATTTGCATTGTGTTCGTTTGTCAAAAATGTTTAGTAACTAAGAAATATTTTTATTTATTTTTTTTTGGTATCTAATCGCTACCGCGATATTGGATGGTCGCACGACCAGGTCCTTCAGTTCGATGATGGGGCTGTCGATATTTTCTTGACTATCGATGGTTGTTAATGAGACCATGCATGGTGTTGCATTGGTATATTCTTTAATTTAAACAATATGATGCTTAGTTTAAAGTGTGGTCGTGTGTAAAGCCACTAACCAAATATTATAGTATTTGGTTAGTGGTAAAGCCTAGTACTCAGATCGAAAAAAATAGCAGCAGAGTGTGACCAGAGGTGAAAACCGCATTCCGTACGGTTACACTTCTCAGGAAGCTGTGTGGTTTTGCTTACCTCTGTTAATAAAACAATGAATGCAAAATGGATCCATGCAGGAGATTGCTTTTAGTGGGATTGGCGGCTCTTGCATGATCGAAAGAGGAGAACAATCAACGAAATAAGCGCCGACAACTTTGATAAAACCCATATCTGCAGGAAAGAAACCTGAACGGTCGTTTGTCTATACATTTGAGTATTATAGCTCATATAAATATGTGTACATTAATGGAAACCCATGAAACGATACCCTTTGCATATTCCACAGTTTGCATATGGCTGGGAATAACATCTGCAGGCTTCTTTAATTCGTGGAGCAGCAAGGCCGTGCCAAGGAATATTTGCGCCCATTGCAAAGTTGTAAAACGGCGCCTCCAAGCACCCTTCCTATTCAACATTGGATAGTTTCAAGCCCAGATTGTCGCCATCGCCCCTTGGCACGACCCTGTGGAGCAGTACTTGGTCCCAAAAGGAAAACAACTTAAAACAATTTGTTAACAGCCCAGTCGGGTCTGTGTCTTGGCAACATGAAGATACTGGCGTTCAAATAAGTTAAGCAAATTAAAAATACAAATAAATTCAATATAATCTCATTAATCTATAATAATTGTTTCCTTTCTTGCCGTTTGATGGCCTTAAGCTCGTTTAGTGGCATTCTTGCCTCCATTTGATTGAGACTATACTCTCAGTTTGCTAGGTACCCTCTCGGAAATTAAAACAGATCTTTATTTTTCGAGCTATTAGCAACATACCAACGAATATCACACAAATACTATTAATACCACACAAATACTATCGATACCACAAAATATTATCGTCTGACTTTCTAGATTTTTTCGGCCTGTTTTTTTTTGTCAATCTGAGTACTGCCTGGCGGCGTAAAGCAGCTAGAACGTAAAGTTTTGTTTTATTTATTTAAAATTGTACACACTCGAAATCTTACAACTGGCCGAACACTGGATCGGCTGGCGGGCGCCGGAAGACAAGCTGGTCGAGGCCCATGACAGCTTCCACACCAACTACTGCATTAAGTGCAAAAAGGAATACGGCATTGCCTGGCTGAAGGAGGAGATCTTCGCTGATCGGCTGCCCAAGTGCACGACATGTAAGAAAATTGTGAAGCCTGATATTTTCTTTGGAGAAGACTTGCCCGAAAAGTTGCACAAAAGTTTGGATGGAGACTTCAAGGAGTGCGATTTGCTGATCATCATGGGCACCTCGCTGGAAGTGCATCCGTTTGCAGCTTTGGCGCAGTGCCCAGGACCGCGCTGTGTGCGTCTCTTGATCAATCACGATGTCGTGGGTCGTCCCAAGTTTACCAGCTGGATGGATGACCAAAATGGGCTCTACGAGAACAGCGAGTCAAGTATTGACTTGGCGGAGAAACATTCAAAGGCGACTTTCACCCACCTACGTCGAGGCTCTTCAGGTACTTTATCCGATTTCGAGATATATTAATTAGTATTGATTCAAGTTCATCCCACCGTAGTGTAACCGAGCGTGACCAGCGCTGGCGCAGCGCTGGCGCAGCACAGCTCATTGAGCAGACGATGAACAGCAGATAGCAGACTGCAGCTCCAGCTCGAAAACATCATCACATCCGTTCTTGTGAACTCCTCTCTCGAGTTCGAAGTATCGGCATTGTGGATGGTTCAGCAGGACAGCAGGTTCAGGACAGCCCAATCGATGCAGCCCAGGCAAGCGGCAGTGACCTTCCTTGTAGAGCGAATAGAGAAAGGCTTCAGTCTGAATGGTCTTGCCGAGGCCCATCTCATCGGCTAGAATGGTGTCGATGGCCTGTCGAGGCTCTTCAGGTACTTTATCCGATTTTGAGATATATTAATTAGTATTGATTCAAGTTCATCCCACCGTAGTGTGACCGATGAAAACAGCGCTGGCGCAGCACAGCTCATTGAGCAGACGATGAACAGCAGATAGCAGATTGCGGCTCCAGGTCGAAAACAACATCACATCCGTTCTTGGGAAATCCTCTCTCGAGTTCGAAGTATCGGCATTGTGGATGGTTCAGCAGGACAGCAGGTTCAGGACAGCAGGTTCAGGACAGCCCAATCGATGCAGCCCAGGCAAGCGGCAGTGACCTTCCTTGTAGAGGGAATAGAGAAAAGCCACAGTCTGAATGGTCTTGCCGAGGCCCATCTCATCGGCTAGAATGGTGTCGATGGCCTGGCCACAGCTGTAGTGAAGCGCTGGTTTCTCGTCGAGCCCAGTGCCAAGCGGATGCTGCAGCAGGCAATCATTTTGGTCATCCATCCCGGTGGTAGAGTTGGGACGACCCACGGCATCGCGATTGATCAAAAGACGCACACAGCGCTGTCCAGGGTACTGCGAGAAAGCTGCAAACGGATGCACTTCCAGCGAGGTGCCCATAATGATCAGCAGATCGCACTCCTTGAAGTCTCCATCCAAACTTTTGTGGAACTTTTCGGGCAAGTCTTCCCCAAAGAAAACAATATCCGGCTTCGCAATTTTCTTGCATGCCGTGCACTTGGGCGGCCGATCAGCGAAAATCTCCTCCTTCATCCAGGCAATGCCGTATTCCTTCTTGCACTTAATGCAGTGGTTGGTGTGTAAGCTGTCATGGGCCTTGACCAGCTTAAGTTAAGGCACGCCCGGTACAATTTTAAATAAATAAAACAAAACTCTACGCCAAGTTAAACTTGAAAAATTTGTATCAAAATATCTGTATTGCTTTTAAATTGTCCTATCCCACTTGAGCGCGACCTGAAGACACCCTGGGAACATCAGAGAGGAGGCAAGGAAGCACTCACACACCATGCAAGATGCCAGAGCAAACCAATTGCATTTTCCATACGGATTTGCATGATTTAAAGGATCATTAAAGTTGAACAACGTCGTCAAAAGCAATAAGACAGTACAACAAAAAATCGATAAGATGTTGAAAACAGGACAGGAGCCTTACCAGAACTTTGATAGAATAAAACCATACATATACACTCCCAATCAGACAACAAACAAATTTATTTTTCAATCAAGGCTCTTTTCCTTATTTAAAAATAAAAGAATTTCACTTCTAAGTTAAAAGGTTTCTTTATATGAATTATTTTGTGTAAATACCCCAAAAATAAGGCCCGTTTAAACGATCATTCGAATAGACTCTATAATGAATATTAGGCAAAATCTTTCAAAAGCTTTTTAATACATTTTTAAACCCGGTAATCGAAGAGTAAATCGGGTATATTGTATTTGTGGGGAGTAATGGTTGTATGTACAGCACAGAAGGAAACGTTTCCGACCCCATATTCTTGATCAGCATCAATAGCCGAGTCGATAGAGCCATGTCTGTCTGTCCGTCTGTCCGTCCGTCCGTCTTGTTTGTCGGCTAGTTCTCAGAGACTATAAGAGCTAGAGCCACCAAATTTTGGCTCCGGATTGCTGCATGCTCACACTGAACCCAGTAAATTTCAAAAATTAGCCCCGCCCTCGCAAAAGGGCGAAAACTTCCCAAACCTACAGTTTTAAAGATACAAGAAATCTGAAAACGCCATTCCGTAGGGAATGACCATAACTATCAGATCACCAATGGTATCCGATTGGATCATTAATGGACACAATGAAGAAATTAATTTGCAGTGGCTAAACCCACCCTTTTGTTGCTTTTTTCATATTCTCTCATTCACACTCTGCTTCTGCTTCACTCTGACTCTGCCTCTGCCGACTTTTAACCCACCCCGTCGGGCGCTGTCTCTGCCTCTGCCACGAGTCTGCAGTGTGCGGGTCTAGGGAAGGGCGGTGAGCTAAAGGAGCGTGTTGTAGCGACTAAAAAAAATAAGAAAAGGAATTCAACATGCATAAATATGCTTCAACATTTATGACTTATGGATGGAGATATTATAATGTCCGATGTCTGGTCACCATTAGCGGAGTTTCTTCTTACAATACACAACAAAAATTAATATTATTCATTTATGCATGTCATCAGATCAGGAAGACTGAGAAAACGTTATCTATGTTATCTTACAACACTAAAATCAGTGCTGTAAATCGTTGTGGCCTAGCTGCCAACTGTCAGAATCAGAGGGAATTGATGATTCCAATTGATGATGATTCGGTGATTCCAAAGCCCTCGAACTATGGTTCCCTTTTTCCCCTTCTGTCCCGACTTATGGAGGATGCGCCTAGAGCAGCTTTCACCAATAGAAGAATAACCAACATCAATCAATTAGTTTGAGGGAAATGTTTTACTTTGTGCAAATCATTTGTGCGGCATCGATCTGAATGCCCATCAGCAGATGAGTCAATAGCTGCAGTTGAGTGTGGAGTTGGACCCCAAGGTGTTCGGCTGGATTGATTAGTAGTTAGTAGATTGCGCTGATGTCCTTCCCAATGTTTGAATTCGCACCAGGCGAGACACAAAGTGGCAAGTGTGTGTGTGTGGCATGCTCGAAAAGCGTCTGTTCCCCGATCCGCAAGTCATTGAACACCAGCGAGTGTAAAAATCATCTGTGCGGCTCCGAACTGAATGTCCATCAGCAGAGTAGCGAGCAGCTGCAAATGGGAATAGAGTCAGAGCACAGAAATAGCATCAGTTTGCATTGAGCACTCACTTGTACAATGTTTCTGCATCCGTGAAAGGTACGCTGGAACATCCATCTCCTGGGTGCCGCCGAAATGACTCCTGCACTCGCTGTGGGTCAACGACTCTGGACATCGAGATTAATCTGCTTTTCGCGAACGCCGTGCACACGCCAGTGTGAACATTCGACATGTGGACGCAACTTCTTACGCGACTTCAACTCAATTCCCATCACCAGCTATTCGACGCTCTTCTCATAGTTATCCAGGTGGATGTCGCAGCAAAGATTCGTGAAACGAAATTATTTTCTAGTTCACATTCAAAATTTTGTTTTGTCAAATTTGTCTCTGAAGTTGATCTGTGCTTTTGTTGCTTGGATTAGATATGGCACTATCGGAGGGAGAGTGACATTTATTCCATGTACTTGACACCCTTAGAGACGGACTTCTTCAGGGCGTCAACGGCTACCCTGAGCTGCTCCTTTTCGCGTTCATCCAACGCGGGCAGGCCATGGTTTTTCGCAATGCCCCTGGGACCGAAGGTGAGTGGAGTGGAGAGGAACGGGGAGTCGGTTACGTCGGACTGGACGTAGGCGCACTCGGGCGCACAGGACTTGCCCTTGAGACCACGCATCAAGGCGTTGGTGAAGCGGGCGGCTGCGTAGGCCATTGACAGCGTGGCGGAGCCATTACCGGCCTTGGCCTTGACCACCTCATCGCCGCCTGTCTGAATGCGTTTCACGATCGACTCGATGCACGCCTTGTCACCCTCGAAGGGCGGCTGGCACTGCGAGAAGATGGGTACGATGGTGGTGCCGGCGTGTCCGCCGATCACGGGTATCCGCACCTTTCTTGGATTGATTTCCATATGGTCCCCAATGAACTTCTCGGCCCGCACCACATCCAGTGTGGTCACCCCAAAGAGACGCCCAGGGTCATACCTGCCACACTTCTTCATTGCCTCCGCTGCAACGGCCACCACAGCGTTCACTGGGTTGGTGATGATGCCCACCAGCGCATGGGACGAATACTCCGATACCAGGGCAGCAGCCTTCGCCACTATGGGGGCATTTGTGTCGAACAGGAAGTCCCGTGTCTGGCCCGGCTTTCGCGGCATTCCCGCGGTAATCATCACGATGTCGGCACCCTTTATGGCCGTTTTCATCTGGTCTGATCCGAAGTACGCCTTCACCTGACAGCCTGAGTCCATGTGCGACAGGTCCTTGCGGAAGCCCGTGGTATCCTCGAGGTCGTGCACGGCCAGCTCTGTCACCAGCTTGTTGGTCATCAGCAGCAGAGCCAGTGGCTGGCCAATGCCACCGGCTGCCCCTATAACAGCCACTTTGAACTGGCGCTGAAGGTAAAGATGCATTAAAAGACAAACTTACCCGCATTGACCCCCAACCATAAACACTTACCGTCTGCATGTGGCTTGGCGTCGCTTGGTAGAGTCGCCAGCACTCACGGCACTGAGCCATTACTGCGGGCTTGCACTTTCTCCGGAGCATGCTGAATGCTGAATGCTGAATGCTGAATGCTGATGTTTCGGAATTATTTTTCTAGATGATTTTCAGGAGCTATAATTTAGAATATTTTTCGAATGTGGCTTGTAACTAACTAACTAACTAACTGACAGAAACGGTCTGCTTTGTTCTCCAATGCTTATGAATAAAAGTCAAAGAATTGTGACTAGAAATTGGTGCCCCTGGAGCTTTATGTTTGACCAACGAAAAAGAACATACATACATACATACCATAGACGCATAATTGCTGAGCCATGCATTTCGATCATGGCAGAAAACTCCCTCCCAGACTGTAATCAATGCCAAGTACACACAGCTCCACGCCGAAGAGCAGTCCCAGCTGTGGCAGGGCCTGCCTCGATTTTTACGGGAAGCGGAAAGTAATAGCATTGCGGTAGCTCTTCAGCTCAGCCAAGAAACAACAAAAAGACTTTTCATATCGGAACAAAGCAAAGCTACACTTGGAAGACCTTTGCATCTTTGTTGAATAACTTAATTAAACATAATTTAGTTTACAATTAATATAAAAACCACTTGAGAACATGAACGAAAAAAAAAAAACAAAAAAAAAATGAAGAATATTGAGACGAATCACTAGACAAAAGGCACTGCTCCTCGTGGTCCTCCTCCTGCACTCAGTAGTGCTGATAGGCGTTGGTGCGGGAGCGGGTGCGGGCGTGGTGCTGCTGCTGCGCAAGATTGGCCTGTGCAAAGATGTGCTCCAGCTCCGCGTCGCTTAGCTGATCGAAGATGCCTCCCTGGCTGCCGACACCGCCGCTGGAGGAACTGAAAGCCGATGGCTGTGAGCCGACGGGCGGCAGATAGCCTAGAAGGAGGAAAGCTCGTTGAGCACAGATCTCTGTGGGCTATGGATGCTTACCCTCTGCTGGTGCGCCACTGCCGTAGGGTGGCTGCAGTGTGATCGATGGACGGTTGGCGGTGTCTGTTGGCGGCTGATAGAAGACCGGCTTCCATGGCTGTTGCGGCTGCTGTGGCTGCTGCGGCTGCTGATGCGTGGGACGCACTGTGGGCAGTGGTGGTGGTGGCGACTGCTCGGGCTCTGGCTGCTCAGGCGCCTGCGGTGGTATCTGGGGCGAGGCTATGGCGGTGCCCGTTTCGGGACGCACTGGGCTCGAGCCCGGCAGCGGTACTATTCCGCCCGGGAACTGCGCCTCCGTCTGGATGAAGGTGGGCGGCTGCTGGGGCAGCGGTGGCTGCACGGAAGTGGGAAAGAATTGGCTGTTGGGCGGTGCCTGGGGTGCCGTGGGTGCCTGTGGGAATTGTGGCACCTGCGGGAAGCCGGTGAACTGGGGAAAGCCCTGGAACGTGGGAATGCCCGGAAATTGTGGGCTCACTGGGAACTGTGGAATGGCAGGGATCTGCGGAATGGCAGGGATCTGCGGAATGGCAGGGATCTGTGGGATGGCAGGGATCTGCGGAATGGCAGGGATCTCTGGCGTCTCTGGTGCTGGCGCCGCTGGTTGGGCCGGTTGGGCAGGCTGCGCCGGCTGAGCAGGCTGAGCGGGCTGGAAGGAGAAGGTCGGAACGGCTGGAAATCCCTGCGGCTGTGGCGGTCCCAACGGGAATTGTGGAATGAAGGAAATGTTGGGCTGTTCAGCTGGAACTGGAACGGGAGAGGGCAGACCAAAGGTCACCGATGGATGCTGCACAGGCTGCACAGCATGGAAATGCTGCACCGGCTGCACTGGCTGCAAGGGCTGGTAATGCTGCACCGGTTGAATGGGTTGGAACGACTGAACAGGTTGAACGGGTTGGACAGGCACTGCTGGTGCAGGAGCTGGAGCAGGAGCCAGGGCCTGCACATAAGTGGGCTGAAAGAGAGGGTCACAGATTGAGTTAGAGATTCGTTCTCATCTGCCATGCAATTCCATTCAGAACTCACCTGCAAGGCATGAACATGGCCATGCACGGGCCTGGCGCCGGCAGAGAACACCACTTGGGGCTTGTGCAGCTGCTGGTGCGGATAGTTGACGCTGTAGGAGGAGACGACGGCATTGCCGGGACGCAGCACATACGAGGGCGGTGGCACGGCGCCGACTCCAGTGGGCAGCGCTGGTGCCAGCGCAGGTGCCAGGGATCCAGCAGCGGGCAGGAAGGCTGCTGCCAGACCAGGGCCAGTGGCTGCTCCAGCCAGAGACAATGGCTTGAGGTGAAGCCCGTGTTGCAGCGGGGAGACGGCTCCGAATTTCACAAATCCATGACGATGCGCCCCAATGGGAACATGGGCGGGTGCGGCAATGGAGGCGGGGCCTGCGGCCAGGAAGCTGCTGGCGCCGGGCAGCTGGAAGCTGTAACCGTAGTGAGCGGCATAGGTGCGTGCCGGCCAGGCGGCAGCGGCAGCGGGATGCAGGGCATGGCCATGGTGGCCATGCAAGATGCCCCGCTTGTGCTTTCCGGTAGTCAGGTCGGCGGCAGCCTCGCTGGCAGGTGCCTCGCCGCTCTCCTCCGCCGGCTGCACCACCACCACCGAGGTCTCCCCAGCGGCCACTTCACTGTCGGTTGTGGTGGGGGCGGACGCGGGATCGCTGTCTGTGGCTGTTACTGTCGCAGTGGCTGTGGTGGGCGCAAACTGGCGGTTGGAGTGGCGCAGGCGCAGACGGCCCGCCTCGGCCGAGCCCATGGCAATGGTCAGAGCGATGGCCAGCAGCAGGCGAATGCTCCTCGAGCTGGAAGAGAGCTTCATCTCTGGGATGTGGGATGCGCGTGGTGCGTGGTGCGAGTTGGTGGTGCTGTGATGATAGTGTATAATCCGTGTGGTGTGTGCTGCGACCGATTGTGGCACTGCTGGTTATGTCAACGCTTCGCTGGCTGCCAACAAAATGAAACTAACTTCCTTGGTGTTTGTTGTATTTATAAAGCGGATATCGGGCGGGCAGCCAGCGGCTAACCACGGTTAGCGGCTAACCCAGTGCCACCCTCGGTGCATACAAAACAGCAAGAAGTAACGCCGATCGATCGCTGTGCCGATACTCCAGCCATCGTCCAGTGCAGTAACTGCCCGGACGGACCTCATCGGTAGGCCATCGGCGATTGGGCAGTTTATGACTTTTACGCTGCCATTTCACCTGCTTCTGCCGTGCAAATGCTTCTCGACAAGCCGCCCGAAAACCACCCAAACACCTCATTATGCTGGACGCCCCGACCGCGGACCGCACAGTGGTGCTAAGCCCAGCTAAATGTGTCTGCTTGGCGTACTTACCACAGCCGGAATTTTCTTACAAGGTGCCGTTCTCCGCTGTGGTGAGGACCAAACACTTATTCCCCACGCTCTCTCAGCTCGCTGAGAGAGACTAGCGCTGGAAAGAGATAGCACATTGTGTTTGTTGTTGTACAATAACTAATTAGTAATTTCGCCATGCCTCAGAAGAGAGCAGATGTGGTAACGGTAAATGGCATGGAGTGATACACAAATAAATATGTTTACCAGTTCTTTCTATACATTCCATTCCATTTTGCACCACTGTATTGCATGGAATCCACCTACGCATGCTCTGCACGTCTCTCTGCACGCAAAAGACTTTTGTTTTGAATGGCCTGCGCACCGCTCTGCTTGCTCCCCCACATGTTCCGTGGCACTTTTCACTTTCGGTTTAGGGGGCGTATGGCCCAAAGCTGGCCATCGAAGGTTTTGCTACTGCAATTAAGATACAAATCAAATGAAGCCATCGAAGCCATTCCAGAGCCTTTTGTATGGCAGGTTACATAAGTTAAATGAACAATGAAACGCAAAGGAGATGTAAATGTCATACCACCCGCACCACTCTAATGGTGAAAGCATAATTGTCATACAAATAAATAAAACCAAAAGTTGAGCAGACGGCAAAACAATTGTCAATTAGCATTTCAATTGTGTGGTTCGGTTTAGGTTTCTGTTTTTGTTTCGTGAATGAAATTCCACATTCCGCATACATTTCACCTGCACTAAATTTGATCGCCGGCCACTGGGCCAAGTTATGGCGATATCCGTACGCCAGATATCCGTGCATTCCAAGCAAATGTATTTTAAAATTAAATTACAATTAGATCCACATATTCATCAGTGGTTTCCATTGATTTTCACTTTTGTCGCTTTGGGAATTGAGCAAAAATGATGCTTGGAATTTTAATGGCTGCAAACTAAACTGAATTTCTGTGGGGTTTTATCTAAGGTGGGAACATCTCGCACTCGTATCTGGGTCTCTGGCCATATCCCCAAGGTCTTTCCCAGGCCTTGCCATGCAATGCGCAAGTAAATCTCAAAAGTGTTTCGACCGTTTTGGCAGCACATGTAATATTTGACAAAGAGCCACATAAAAACTTGAATGTAAGCGCACTGCAGACAAGTCCAAGCCGTTGAATGCGCTCAATGCGATGCTTTATGGCGTCGCGGGGGCACGTGATCGGCATGGAAACAACAAAAATAGCAATAAAGGGTCTCTAAAACTAGTCCCAATTCCCATCCATCCGTCGATCCATCGATCCATGTGTAATCACAGCTTGAAGCCAGAGTGTATGCTGACGATGCCAAAGTTTAGATTCTCGTAGGACACCAAATCGAAGCCGGCCTGCTCGATCATCTGCTTGAAGTGCTCCTGCTTGGGGAAACGACGAATGCTCTCCACCAGATACTGGTAGGCCTGCCACTGTCCGGCCAGGAGCTGTCCCATCGGCGGTATCACCTGGAACGAGTACTGGTCGTACAGCCACTGCATCGTCGCGTTCGTCAGATGACTGAACTCCAGGCACATAAATCGTCCGCCCGGCTGCAGCACTCGGTAGGCCTCGCTCAGCACCTGTGAGGCGGCGGAAGAAATCATGAATTAACTTGGAGCAGCCCCCGAAAGGCAGAAACCTACCTTATCCACATTCGTACAGTTCCGGATGCCAAAGGCAATCGTGTAGGCATTGAAGCTGGCATCCCCGAAGGGCAGGCTCTCGGCATCGGCGCACTGCCAGGCAATCGTTGAGTTGGGCAGGCTCTCTGCGGTGAGGCCGAGGCGGCGGGCCCGCTCCCTGCCCACATCGAGCATGTGCTGGTTGATGTCCGAGACGGTCACGTGGCTGGATCGTTGCTGGGGATTCGCCTGATTGGCCAGATACTTGAGGTAGCGAAATGTGATGTCGCCAGTGCCGCCAGCCATGTCCAGCAGTCGCATGCCATGCGTCGGCCCCAGTCGCTCCACAAACATGTCCTTCCACACGCGATGTATGCCCAGGGACATGGCGTCGTTCATCATGTCGTACGAGTTGGCCACCTGCTCGAACACCTCATGGACTGAAAGCAGTTTGTGGAATGTTTACACTGCCCTCTGCACGTGTCCATGCTGCTTACCTTTCTGTTCCTTTTCGCTCGCCTTTACCGTTTGGTAGCCAAAGTGCGTGGTCTGCTCGGCACTGCCTGATTGTCCAGCTCCTGTTGCTGCCGCTCCTGTTGCTCCTGCCGCTTGCTGCGAAGCCTGTGCTGCTGTTCGCCTCAGCAGATGCCTGGCCAGGGACAGCAGTCGTGTACTTTGATTGCTGTGCATATTTGTTTGCAGCTAGATCCTCCCCCACTCCTCGTAATTGGGAATATTATGAAATAACAAAAACAGAGCGTCAGCTGTTCTATGGCTATCAGTTTAGCGCGCGGAGTTATCGATCAAATATACCGACAGACCAAATATATACTGTAAATAAATCGTAAATCTGAAATCATTTTCCTCAAATGCCGGCTGTCATGTATCGATAGGTTTGGTGTCTATTTACTTCAACGTGTCGATATCGATTCTGTGCCTGGCGGCAGTTTTAATTCAAATTTGCAAACAGCAAAATGTACAAAATGCATTTCGCAATACTAATTGCAGGTTTTAAAATTTTATTGAATAACCAGAAACTAACAATAAACGAAATAAATGTCAACCTTTTTGTATTGCCAAACCCCTCCCCTTCTGGATCTGCTGTTGATGGTCCTGCTGCAAGAAGTGACATTTAACAGGAATCTAGGAATTTAAAGGAATCTACTTGCTTTTTAAGAGTATGCTGCTGTTGTGTGTTGCCTGTGATCTGTGTTGTGTCTTTGGTGTATCTGTCTCTGACTCTCTCTTTTTATTTTTCGCTTGCCAAGGCCTTCGAAGGCAACTCCTTTTTGTGTAGCAGTTCCTGGACACTGAGCTTCAATTGTGCCGGCAACATTTCTGTCTTCGGGATGAACTCCAGCGCTGGGTCCTTGAGCAGTCTGCGTGCAAAGTACACAAAAGGCTTGTCAATGTTCGAGTTCGCTTTAACAGACATCTTCGTGAAGTTGAAAAAAGTCAATCGTAGCGGGTTCTCGTTGGACATTTGAATGTCGGTCTTGTTGCCACAAATCGATTTCAGAGCGTACGAAGGCACCCGCTTGAACAGCGAGTAGTATGAGTCAAAGTTAATCAAGGGATCCCTTAGGCCGACGTCGAACATTAGGATGGCACACTTGAGGTCCCTGAAGAAAATTGAACTCTTCTCATACTCCCCCAACTCTGCCTCCCACGTTTCGAAGCAAATGGGGCCGCGGTTTGTGTTGAACTGGAGATTAGTCACCACGAGTCCGCGTGTGGGAACGTACTGCTGCACGAAGGCACCCGTCAAGTGGCGCTTGACGAGTGAAGACTTTCCACATCCCTCATGGCCGATAAGTGCGCATTTAAATGTTGGAACTTGCTGCGGCCGGCCAACCTCTTTTACACCAATCATATTGTCTTCCGTCTTGAAATTTGAATTTCCAATAAGATACTAATCAGAATAGCACGTACCACAATTTGCTTACAATTTTCAATAGTCGGAGAAAGGTGTCGTCTATTTTTGTCCAGCCAAAGTCAATACAATGAGCACTAGAATATCACATGACACAAGAGTTTGTGCCTGCTACGACCACTCCTTTTTGCTCCCATCACTTATGGGTACATTTTTACTTATTGCATCCATAAACTGCAACCCAACTTCCAATAGAATAACAAAATCTTTCGTATTTTGAGTTCATTTAAACCGCAAATTTATTATTGTTGAATTGTTACTCTCTTTCGTTTCATTTTTGTTACGGGAGGGACCTACACGGCGCCAGCAACTCGGCCAATTGTTTGATGGCGAAACTTAATTACGATATTACATGTGTAAAAATACCTAATTACAAAACAGCTTTTTCTCTTCTTCCTCCTACGTGTCGTCATCGTTGGCTTCAATAAAGAAGACAAAATAAATCCTTTTTTTTTTGCATCGATTCTACTGAACGGATCTTAATGGAAGTTACATGTTAAAACAAAAATAATATTTAATAAAAAAAAGGTATATATATATATGTAACTATATATAGCATATATGTATCTTTACATTACAGTGATAATGATAGTAATAGTAATAATAAATAGTTTACAAGGTGTGGCGGTTTATTGTGTAAGCATTTAACTTAAAGTACAACTAAAACTAAAAGTAAAGTTTTTAATCATTGAGAAAAAAGTCCATTGATAAGCGTTTTCATTCCTTTCACTATATATGTATCTTTTTATCCTTGTTGTGGGTCTGGCTGGGCATAGACGAGTTGCATGAGTGGGTTGGATAGAGGATTGTGTTGTATGCATATCATAAAGTCTATATATTTAAATGACAATTACAAAAAACAAAAAAAAAAAGGGATAATAATAGATGGATTGTTGTTCTGTTTGCAAGCGCTTTTGCTGCTGTCCGTCCGTTGATCTCTCGCTACATACTCGCATGCTATGTAATCGTATTTAAGTGTAAGTTAATGAATATTTATATGCATGTTATATATATATTTATATATATTGTTGTTGTTGTTGTTGTTGTTGTTGCTACCATTCCATTGCCTTATCTTTTTAGAAGTTAAACTCCTCCTTCTTCTCGGAATCACTACTCAGATCGTTCATCAGGAGATCGAAACATGATTTTGGTATCATGGTGCCCACAATTTTCTCGCCCTCGGTCGTCTTCATGCGTATCACTTGCATTTTGCTGTTGGAACGTGTATTCAATATGTGCTCGACACGTCCCCAAACTGACAGCACCGATCCGGCCAGCACATGGTACAGACGCTGCCTGAGGCCCACCTATTTGTGTGTGAGAAATTGCAATAAGAATTTGTTGCACCATTATTGTGTCTCTGCCACTCACCTCACAATCGTTGCCGAGGCTCACATTCCGACAATTGCCATTCCAATAGGCATGCGAGCACGTGTTCACCGATGCATCATACTGCTCTGTCCAGTGGGTCTCTGCCTCTTCGCTGTCCACCTTTCTGTACTTTTTCTCGAGCTCAAAGAGCGACTCATGGCGCACCTGCAGGCCCGTGTTGGGTCTATAGATCTGGCACATAATCTCCCTCTTGGTGCGAGCCTTTTTCTTTTTGCTGTTGCTGCTGCCACCATCCGTGTCGGTGGTGCTGGTGCTGCTGCTGTTACGTGGCGGCTGCTGTTCCAGCACAACGACCAGTATGGCTGTGCGCTTCTGATTACGCAGCTGATGCGACAAATAGAAGCCCTCATTGTCGTTGAACAGATCGGCATATCTGTGGAGTAAGAGATGTAATAATTACATTGATGAGAATGAGCAGAAATAATATATTTACTTGTCAATGGCCTCCTGCCAGATCATGCCACGTTCCACGCGCACCGTGTGCAGCTCTGTGGGTGCCACTCCGGTGGCATGTTTGCGCATAAAACGTATCAAACGCACACGAATCACATTCTCCCCAGCAGCGCCCAAATCTGTCAAGGAGATAAAAACAATTCTTAATGCTGTACCGGGAGGGAGGACCCCTTCGTTGTGGCAGGAACTTTACTCACCCACAATGCCCAAATCGAAGCGACCGCCACGCTTCGCCTGCTGTATGATGGCCGTCATGGTGTCGGTGAAATACTTGAACAAACGATTCTGCAGATCCACGGGACAGCCGAGAATGCGATTGAGAAACTTTGATATGTTATTGTAGTCCTTGTCCAGACTGAGTACGCCCGGATGGCTCTCGCTGTTCACAATGATGCCCACACCGACCAAGGCGCCAGCAATGTCCTTGAAGAACTCGCCATTGTAGTCGGTGGGCGGCGGCACAAGCGGCGCCTCGTACCCCATTATCGTGCGCATCACCGTCTCGAGCGCCTGACGGCCGTACTTGTTGTCAATATTAAACTGGGACAAGTCGCGCGTCTCGGTGGCACGACGATCGCCGTGGGTGAGCGCCCCGAGTGACTCCAGGCGCTTGGCCACCGTCGAGGCGAAACGTCGCTCACCGGCCAGATCCGAAATGAGGAAAATATACTCGGGGGCATTCACCTGATTGGAACGATGGGTGCGGCCAAATTGCTGAATGGCCCGATCGGCGGACCACGGCAGCTCCAGGGTAATGTGAACACGACGACGCTGATTGAATACCCGACGATCGCTCTGCAGGGATATGCCGCTGGAGGCGGCCTCCGAAATGATGGCCACATCCTTTTGGCCATCCATGAAGCGCTGCTTCTCCGTAATATTCAGCGTCTCCAGCGGCACGTCGGACTCTGTGCGCGACTCGTACTGTATGGAGCCATCGTCATTCTGGACGACACGGCCCCGACGGCCGGTCATCTCGGCGACGTTGTCGGGTCCGCCGAGTTCGTCGATCAGCTGATCGAGTGTGTTCGGTGGCAGGCGGGAGCCGAGACGCTCAATCTTGCGCAGCAGCTCCTCCTTCATGGTGCAGGCCCGCTCGATGGCATCCTTGGGCGGTGGGCCGTAATTCAGCTTTACCCCATTGACGCCCACGGGCGTGACGGTGCCCTTGAGCTCTTGCTTCTTTTGCAGCAGATCCTGGATCTTGTCCTGAGTTGATTGCTGCGACTTGCGTGTCTTGGCCGCCGTCAGAGCGGCAACCACAGCGGCTGACATAACAGAGCTGCTGCTGGCACTGGCACTGGCATCGCTGCCAGTTTTTGTTGCTGTTGCGGGTGTGGTGGTGGTGCTGGTGGCGGTGGAGCCTGGCTGGGATTCCTTCTTTTCCTTCTTCACCTTCTTTTTGACCTTCTTCTGGGCCTTCTTGGTGGGCTTCTTGCTGCGCGCATTCACCCAGGGATCAATGTCGCTGTCGCTGCCACTGAAGAACGGATTGAAATCGGAGCTGGCATCACTGGCCACGCTCCTGCGATCGCTGTCCCGATCGTTCTCCTCCTCGGCATCCTCATCGTCCTCATCCTCCTCGTCCTCGTCCTCCTCCTCGGCATAGGCCTCGTCACTGTTCGCTCCCTCGCTGTCGCTATTCGAGTTGGCGCCAAAGTCTCGACTGGGCGTGTGGGCTGCCTCCTCATCGCTGTCGCTCATTTGCCAGGCGCCGGCGCTCATTTTCTTTTTCTTTTGAGACGACTTGGCCTGAACACCACCGCCGCCCTTCCGCTTGCCGCGTCCGCCGTTCTTGCCATTGTTGTTGTTGTTGGCAGCGGCGGCTGCGGCACTCTCCGTGACGGCAGAAAAAGGCGTCGGTGTGTCATCGTAGAGGCCGAGAATGCGATTGATGCGATTGCGATCGGGCGCCGGGAAATGTCGCTCGACAAACGACTGGAAAACACCTCTGAAAAGAAGCAAAGAAAACGTTGGCATATTTATATTTGAATCTGGAATTGGGGGGACGCTATTTGTGTGACTCACTTGGCTGTCGAAACAAAGTCCGTGAGCTCCCCGTCATCGCGCTCCAATTGATCGAGAGTTCGGGCCTCACCCGTCGACTGCAGACCGATGACCACACACTTGCCATACTTGATGGACTCGCGGGCCACCAGCACCGCATGATTGACCTTGGCCGCAATGCACAGATACTTGAAGAAGCGTTGATGCGATGACCAGAACTGTCCCCACATGGTCTTCTTCATGCGACTCTCGGCATCGATCAGTTCGGCGGCCTCTGTAAACTTTTGCATGGCCTCCACCCAGAGCTCCACGGACTGATCGTAGATCTTGCGGAATTCCTTGGTGAGTGGCACCTCCTCGATCTTGAAGCTGACCCCCTTGAAGCTCAGCTGACGTGCAATGTACATGCCGCGCAGCTTCATGTCCATAGCAACGATTTCCATGGCCCCGACTCCGCTACAAACGAAAGAAAGATTCGATTAGGGCCCATTCGATTGGATGTTACCACACACTTACCGTCGCTCAACTGCTGTAATAAAATCATTGAAATTGCCAAAGGCTGTGCCCTGGCCCCACAGTCCCAGTCGCACCATATAGGCCATGTTTTTGGGCTCCGAAGCGCCCGTCGCTGAGGCATAGACAACACGGGCCTTGGGCAACTTTTGCTGCAGCTCGAGGACCGTTTGTCCGGTTTTTGTGGGCTTGCCGGAGCCCACCGGACACAGATTCTTGGCCTTGTGGCACTCATCGAAGATGATTAGGCCCTCAAAATCCTCGCCACACCACTGCAACAGTTGGCGGAAGCGTGAACGATACTTGCCCGTCTTGTTGTTCGATTCACCAATGAGCGCCGAATACGTGCTGAAGATGACTCCGCGTTTGACATTGTTGTTCACATCGGAGCTGATTTTCGCGTACTTAAACTGCGCAGCGGAAGAGAGAACAGAATGAATAGAGGAATGGCATCATAAGAGAGCCAAAGATTTTCTTACTTTATTTAATGGATGTACACCAATACGCGAGGCACCAATATCGATCAGATCTCGCTGTGCATCGTACTTAAGATCATTCGAAACCGATATCCATAGCGCCTTCTTGCGCCCTTTGAGAAAGTTCTCGTAGATGATGCCCGCAATGGTGCGACCCTTGCCCACACCAGCGCCATCGCCAATAAGGAAGCCAGCACGACTGCCATCCGGCAGCAGGTGATCGTGCGCCTGCGAGGCATAAGTTATCGACTCCAGCTGCAGGGCACTCAGCTGTCCCGTGCTGATCGTGTCGTTGGGTATCGACATCTTGTAGTAGACATCGCAGGGCTCCACAGAGCTGAGAGAAGCGGTCTCCACCACAGCATCGGGATGCTTTTTGCCCAGCTTCACTGTGAGAGACAAAAGGAGGAGAGTCGCGTCAGATAAGAGCGTGTTAAATTGCGGGCCAAATACTCACATTTAGCTGGCCAATAGTCGGCATATGTCTCGGCTACACCCATCTCCTCGTAGTCCACTTCATCCTCCTCCTGCTGCACAAAGGCAGCCGCTGCGGCGGCCGAAGCTGCTGCTGCATTGGCCTGCGCCTGGGCATGGGCCTGCTGCATGGACTGCTGCATGGACTGCTGCATCGACATGGACAACGACATGGACATCGGAATGGAGCCAGGGCTGGGGCTGGACATCGTGGGGTTGGCTGGCGAGGGTGTACGCTTCATCGATTGCATGAACATCTGGAACACATTGTTGGGTATGCCGCTGGTCAAATATTCCGGATTCATGGCAATCAGCTTCTGGACAGCCGCCATCATCGATGTGTTGGCCTTGGTGCCGGCAGTTGCTGCTCCTCCTCCTCCTCCTCCTGCTGCTGCTGTGGCACTCGCTTGCGGTTTGGTTATTGCTCCCTTGAAGGGACGCACCACCGGCAGGGCCCCTCCAGCTGCACCTGAACCAGCACCGCCGCCAGCATAGCTCACTGTAAGACACACACAAGGAACGGGGGGACGGGAGAAACAAAAAATAAAACGGTTGTGTTTCGTGTAGGAGTTTTTTGTTTTTTGTTGGTTGCAAATTTCAAATGTCGTGATTTGGTTTGTTGTATGTGGTGGTGGCCACGTGTGGCATGTTCAATGAATGAGAGGGAGAAATATGCATTGAATAGAAAAAGACAACAGACAGCGGAGAATAGAAAGAGACAAAAAGAAATAGAGAGCGTACATCAGCAAAGATTGTAAATACAAAGGTTACATCGAGGAACAAATTCTGTTCTTTCATACATATGTGGAAAAGCCTGCACGGAGAGTCCTCTTTCGAAAGAACAACAACTACTGCAGGCATACATCAAACACACAAACAAAATGCATTTTCGTTCGCAGAACCAATGCGTAGCCCGAAACGAAAGCTCACGAAAAGCTTAAATTACGGATCAGAAAGTGTACACATAACAGTACCGCATGACACCGAACCGATTCTGCTGCAAGAGAGAGCTTTCGATACCGTTAAATGTTCTGATTCATCAAGCGTAGACCAATGGCATGGCAGAATATTGGCAAAAATCTCGACTTATTTTGTGTGCTCTCTCATCAACTTAAACTCAAACCAAAAATAACTTCAATTGATAACCAAATGCCATTTGGGGAGGGACATCTCATCGATGCATGCTGATTGTATATCAAATCAATTGACCAATAATTTGATACTTGTATACAGAAAATTTTTAAAGTTGCTTGAGCAAATCAACGAGGAGCTGCGCAGTGCCTTTGCTCCATCTTCTCCTATTCCGATTGGGATCTCTTCTGTATCGGTGTTCCAGCTGCAGCGCTCGTACGTTGATCAAGCATTTCGCTTTCTTGCTCCTTGAGGTAACCGGGATTGCGGTAGAGCACCTCGGCGATCCCAGCCTCTGCGGGTGTCGAGACGCTGAACAAGGAACTGCTGCGGCTGATAGCAGAGGAAGATGATTCCCCCTGCACCAGATCGTCTGCCTCCAAATCGGTATGTGAGGTTTCAAACGTTAGTGGCGGATGCTTGAAGAAGACGATGGATCCCGATTGGTGTAGTGTTACCGATGAGGTGTTCAATCCATCACCAGGGGCCTGACCTTCCAGCTGTAGGTCCAGCTGCGATGTGTCATTTGCGGCAGGTGGCTGCGCCACAGAATCCTCCTCTTTGTCTTCGTTGTAATTTTCGTTCTCAGATGTCGACTTCTGGCGGCTGCTTGCCATACGCTTCATCTTGTCCAACGCCTTATTCTGGATGACATAAAACTCTTTCATGGCCTCAGCCACAGTGAGCTTCACCTGCTGACAGCTATCCTCCCAGCAAGGATCAGACGGAGCAGCATCAGTACCAGCCCTCTCCATGTGATAGTGGTGATGATGGTGATGGTGATGGTGATGATGGTGATGATGTATCTCATCATTACCTCCAGATGTCACCTGCTCGGCCTCCTCCTCCATTTGCTCTTTATCTTGTGTCTCGATTGGATTCATGATCGAAAAAGTGTCCAATGAAACCCAAACAAAAAGGAAAATCGAGCACACCAAAACAAACTTCAATAATTTCGTGATAGCTTTGTTTCAACAAAAAAATAAAACTCCAAATATTGGATTGTGCTGAGCTAGTGGAACGTTTTTTAGTATCCCGAAATTTCGATGGAGCCCCTGCACTGCACGAAAGGCAACTGATGAAAAATCAATTCCTACTTTGATGACAGTTCAACAAACATATCCTAAAACGAGTGACAACAAAAACATTCACTCATTCATTCATTCATTCACAAAGCAGGACATACATTGTACGTGGTACAGTTGCGTTCAAAATATTAAAAGTGGTTTTTCACATTTACATTTCAAAATATTTGCACACTATTTACTGAATATTCCATAGAAAGTTAAACACGTTTAAGCGATTCTTTTAATTCATTAACTAATTCATGTGCAAAGTAAATAATTTGTGAGAATGCTTTAAAACTATTTTCCAATATGATAAGGATGTATGTTCGAAACTTTTCAGAGATCAATTAGCAGTCCAATTGGTAGTATTTTCTATAGATATGTGTAGACTACAATATTTACGCGAGAAATGTAGCTGAATTTTAGGTAAATATCTACTTTTTTCAAGATCTTATAGCAGCAACAAGATCTATAATATGCCATTAAGTTTTAACCAAAATTTAAAGGAACTTTAAGCACCATCTTTTAACCATAAAAGATCTAATCTCATGTGATTTAAAATTGCTAGTGAAGGAAGAAAGAAACGAATAGCCTTCGTTCCCTTATTTAGAAACTTCCGAACTGCCCACAGAATTGGTTCTACTAATTCTACTGGTTTCTATTCTGATCTTTGACTATCTATCACTTTTCTACAGGGTGAATTCGAATTCATCTTTGATTTGTCTTTTTGAGTAAAATGATAATGAGCACTTTTAATATGTTGAACGCAGCTGGGAGGGAGATCTGCTATTGGGATTGGTAATTCAGTAGGTGGGTAAAACACTCTTTGCTACGCTTTTTTTTCTTGGTTGTTACCAACATTAATCGACTTACTCTGCGCCAGTAAAGACGCGGCCATATTGAAACTAGCGGCAGAGGCACCACTCCCGCTCCCACTCCCACTGCCACCGCCAGCACCCATCGCTGACGCATAGAAGTTGGTGGAGCCACCGCCGCCACTGGAGGACGAGGTGGAGGTGGATGTGGAGGAGTGTGAATGCGAGGGCGATGGCGAGGCACTGCCACCCTTGGAGGCCACGTACGCGGCGAGATTCATCAGTTCGTTGGTGGAGAGGCTGTTCAGGTAGCTGCCGGCGCCGCTGCTCAGGTAGCTGCTGGCAGACCCACCACCCCCACCGCCTGTCCCCGTATTGATGTGAGGCGTAGGGCTGGGGCTGGGCGTAACGGTGCCCGTGCCCGTGCCCGTGCCCGAGACCGAGCTGCTGGTCCTCGCTGCGGATGGTAGAGTGGGGCCAATGGCTGGACGGACGACAAAACGAATGCAAAACGTAACGAAAAGGAACGAAACCAAAATCAAAACAAAACAATAAATAGGAAAGGGTTTGGCGTGGGGGTAGAAAGAGTTTTGTAGGTGTAGGATATAAAGAAAGAGAAGAAAGAGAGAGAAACACAAGGGGCATTAATTAATTTCAATCGTTCATCTTTCCTTCTGTCTGTCTTGCTGTCTGTCTCTGTTTCACGCACTGCTTGTGGGTGTGTGGGTGTGTGGATGTGTGTGGATGTGTGGGTGTGATTTCAAGGTACATTCATAACAAGGTGAGGCAAATCCAAGTCTTACAGATCTTTTTTTCCTTCAACTATTTATATTTCTCTCTCTTTTTAACTGTGACTATTATCCTGTGGAATAAATTCTACAAAATTAATTATCCTCTCTGCCAAACGTTAGAAAATGCAAGAGGCAAAATGTGTCCTAAAAGTTGAGAGATTTTTTTCTTGCTCTAAAAACATTTTTTTTTTTTTGACAAAATATGTTCCAGATTCTCTTATAGTTCTTAAATCTGCACTAAGCCATCATTAGCGTTCATTTATTTTCCTCTTCCTCTCCCTCTCCCTCTCGCTGAGCGCGTGCCTCACCTTGTGTGTTGCAAAAATGTGGTTTCTCTCAGTGTATTTTTGTGGGTGGTGTTTTGTGTGTGTGTGTGTGTGTTTTTCATGCATTGTTTTTGTTGTTGTTCAACTTACCCGTCACTGTGTTATTCAATTTCTTTGGCATATTGTTTAAACTATTCTCTAATCCTATTTTTCTGGCTATTATCGGTACTCCTCCTTTAGACGTCAGTTCTAGACCCACAATACCAGCTCCTCCTCCTGCCCCAGTTCCAGCTCCAGCTGCCGCTGCTGCTGTTGCTCCTCCTGCTGCTGCCGCTCCTCCTGCTCCTACTGTTTTCACTATCGCTGCTCCTCCCGGTCTGGCGGACAATATGATGCCGTTATTATTGCCAATCTTATTGTAATTGCTGCTGCTGCTGATATTATTATTATTGGTTCGCAGCAGAGAAGTGGGCTTATTGTTGTTATTGTGATTGGTAATGGTTATGGTTTTGGTATCGCTGCTACTGTTGCTGTTGCCACTCGCTGGACCCTTCGTTACGCCCGCACCGCTCCGTATGTTCTGGGCATAGGTAACAGCTGTATTCAGATCGCGACCGCCACCTGCAGAGACAGAGATATCATCACAAAGAAACATACATTAATGATGGTGCATTTCGTTGATATTTTAATAATTTCCCCTCCTATTCGCTGTACAAATTATCCACAACCTAACGGAGACACCCTCAAATGAGGCAGAGCAAAAAGGGTTGAGTAGAAGTAGGCTCAATCGTTCCTATCATTTCATATTCCTGTGCTTATTCAATATTTATCATTATGCTAGCAACTTGTGTTAAGTGATTCCCAATCTAACCAATTTTTTGTATTGGCAATCGAGCTGTAAAAATGTTGGGACGGAAGAGGCACATGCCAACATACAAGTGCGCCATAATTGGCCCTAAGGGAAGCGGAAAGTCTTCCTTCATCCAGCGCCACTTGACGGGCGCCTTCGACCAGGGGTATTATCCCACAGTTGGGGTCGTGGTGATTAAGCTTATGTTCAACACAAGCCGCGGGCCCATCTGCTTCGAGATGTGGGAGGGAGAAACGGTGGAGTGCAACGAGGCTCCGAATATAGTCTTGAAGCAAATCAAGTGCGCCATCCTAATGTTCGACGAGGGCATACAGGAACCCTTCATTAACTTTAGCACATACTACTCCCTGTTAGACCTGGTCCCTTCGCACGTTATGACATCCATTTGTTGCAACAAGACCGACATCAAAACTTGCAAGAATAACCCTTTACGCTTGACCATTTATCGCTGCACAAAGATTTCCTGTAAAACGAACTTAAACTTGGAGAAACCTTTCGAGTACTTTGCACGCAAACTGTTCAAGGACCAAACGCTAGTGATCGTCCCAAGGACACCATTGTTACCGGCACAAGTGAAGCTCAGTGGCGAGGATTTGCTAGGCAAAAAGGAATGGGCATCAAAGGCCTCGACAGAAGATTATGATAAAGCATTACCTAAAAGCATACAGAGATAAACCAGCCAAAAAACACAGGACACAGCACAGAGGGTCAGGGGCAAAGGGACAAAGGGACAGACAACAGCAGCACACTCCTAAAGGGTAGGTAAGAAGCATCATCTTTGATTCCTACTGATTGAACCCCCATAATTAATCTGTCAAATGTCACTCCTTCGCAGTTTCTGCCTAAAATTCAATAAAATGTTCCTACAATGTTGCAGTTTTGGATGGGTTGGGGTTTGCTACAGTAAGCATCTGGGAGTCCAGGCTGTCTCTGTCCCGCGTTTGCATAAACAAAGTACATGTCGTGTGCATGTCCCGCTGATAAGGGTTGTTTTTCGTTCTTGTTGCTTTTTTGTTGGCAAATTTCCCATTTTGTGTGCTGGAATGTTTGGAATTTTCAATTGTTGCATACCTTTAATTAAATGCAAATTGAATATCCAAACATTTCGAATCAAATTCCTCGGAAATATGATTCCCATTTTCGTTGCAGCCACCGGGGAGATGCCCCCCAGGCAGTAGCAGCAGCAGCGGCAGCGGCAGCAACCACCCTCATTCCTCGTTCAAGGTAAATAACTAATTAATGAGCAAAGATACAGATGCAGATACATATGGGGAGATGCACATAGTACATAATGTGCTGCTAGATGTACTTTGTACACATAAACAGAGGGTAGCTCGTAGGCTGTTTTTGGCTGGATATATAATCATAATTATATGCAACCAGCCACACATTATGTGGCACCCACACATGCAGCAATGCCAAAGGATAGTGCAATTATTCCATGTTGCCATTGCCGTTGCCGTTGCAGTAATGGTGGCTACCGCGCGGTCAAGATGCATAGCCCCAGCAAACCCACGCCATCCCTTAATAAATGCCGCAAATCGCAGATCCAAAAGCCATTGCACGTCTAAGCTTTTGACAGATGTAGAAAGTAATTAAGTTCTCTCCTAACTTTCAGGAGCCGCAATCATATCGTACAAATAACAGTGGCAAGACTCTTTAAAGACCACTTTCGGCGCTTGTGGTGAGGCACAATTGCACAGCATTGGGTAAATGTGTAATATTTAAAGTGAAGTCGCCTCCTTAAAGGTACCTTCTTCTGCTTTGGTGCACCTGAACAGAGTCTGCGGAACTGAACCTTCAAATAATTGATTTTCAATTGATTGTGTTCTTTTCATGTGCTGTAATTATCCATCGATTGATGGATGCCTCTTGCAATAGCATGGCGGGACGTTGGGCAATTGCTAATCGAATTTAATAATTCAGTCAAGATGTCCGTTCGTCCACCAAGTATGACGCACAGAGGCAGGACAGGAAGGAGCCTTCCAACGCGGATATATCGTTACGTATGTAAAGATATAATGTATTCCATTCTATTACGGGTTGTGTGGAGTTGGGGGAAACGTTACCTAATATGCGTGACGCACAAGCCACGCACATAATTGCTATATACTCCTCGATATCGAGTAAATCTAATGCAAACACAATGCACGCTGCACATTGCACATTGGATGGACATCTTTGTAGTGCCCTCCGGGCAGGTGGGATACACTCCCCCCCCCCCCCCCCCAACTCTCTCTATCGCTCTCTTTTGCCTTCGTATCTGCTTTGTGCATTTATGGGGGAAGTCATTTGGTGGGCACGCCGTTTGAGGCAGGTCGATTGGGGGACTGAGGGCATTTTCATGAATGTTTTAGTGAACCAATAAACGTTGTCTTTTACTTAATATTGGTACAGATGTCACAAAGACAAACTCGAAGTTGCATTTCGTTGGAACTCGCTTGAGTTGTCTCCTGTGTTTCCTGAATAAAAATCCCCAGGGGAAAGCGCCACGCTATCCATTAACGTACTCCTTCGAGCACAACAAGCTGCCAATCAATTCGCCACTTGTGGAAAACCACAAGTATTATTTCTAAATAAAACTCAATGAGGGAATTTTCCGCTTACCAGGCACTTCTATTAGATCTGGATCTTCATCATCGTCAAAATCGGAGCCAGAGTCCTCTTCATCAAAATTATCGTCGTCGTCGTCGACGCCGTCCAAAAATGCTTTCCGCTTTTTCGATGTCTACATTGGTACATGGAATAAAACAACAACAAAAAACAAACAATTTAATTATTATATTTAATATTTCATTTTAGGACTTTTCGATTGCTTTTGTATTTGCTAGTATTTACATGGTTTTACCTAGAATTAGCTGGTTTCTTGCATTTATTTGAAATTTTCTATGATTTTTTTTTGTTTTTTATCATTTTTGTGTTTCATAATTTTAAGTTTTTGGGTGTTTATTTTTTTTAAGGCCCAACTAGAGCTGCTTTGCAGACTTTACAAGCATCGAAAATGTCTTGATCCCATAATATCCATAGAATAATTTAGTAATATCACACATTAATAAACATTATGAAATAATTGGCAGGATACCCATTCAATTTGATCAACAACTCGATTTCTCGCAGTGCATGCCAGAGTCGGCGAAAATCAATAGTTTTAACATTTTTCACAGTTTTCACTTCCATTTCGAATCACCCGAAAAAAAAGGACACACACACAGGCATAGAAAAGCGGAAAACCGAAACGAAAACAAAAAGCAAAATAAATGTGACACAAAAGAAGAGCGCAAAAAAATTCGCATATATTTGTGTAGCACACTTTTCAGAGCACAGGAAGAGCACGCACACACACACAACCAAACCCACAATGCAGGGAAGGAAATACGAGCCAAAGAGAGCCAATGGGAGAGACAGGGAGAGAAAGCTGTAGGAGTTTCCGAGTCACTTGTTTAGAAAAAACGGCACAAAAAGCACGAGCAAAAAATTGAAAAACAGAAAAAAGCGCGAAGGGTAAAAAGCAGAAAAGAAGAAAAGCGCTGGAGAGGCAAACACTCACGGGAAAAAGAAGACGGACCGAAGGAGGTCACAGATGCGGTTCTGCCTCGATGGGAACTGGTTCTGTTCTCCGTTTGGGCCTGGCCTTCTCTTGGGCTTTTTGGTTTCTGGGATATTTTTCTCTTCGTGCGGTTAATTGTCTTTTTGCGGGAGTGGTGTGCGACTGTTTCGATGCTCGTGTTGGAGCCAACTACCGCCACTTATCCAGGAATCAGACTCAGATCCAGAAACAGACCCGTACCCGGGTACGTCCTCTGCCACTGCCACTGCCACTGCTACATGCCTCTTGGCTACATGGCACATTGAATACCCTGCAGCCCCTTCTGCAGTCCACAAATTGCTGGGAATATTCACCATTTCATGTCGGAGGCAGCAGCAGGACCAAACGGCTGCAGTTTTTCGATAGTAACGGGTTAAACTGGAGAGAGGGTCACGGAAGGGGGTGCGGCTCCTTTGGGGGTGGGTTTTCGCGTGTGTGTGTGTGGGAAACGGACAGCAAGAAGAACAGAACTGGAAACAGGCCGATAAACAAACGAGGTGGCGACGACTACCGAGCATCTTGCTACATACCAACCCTTTTTCGCACAGGTACAGTGGGATTCATAGAGCCAAATGGATGACAAAAAGCATGTGGAAATGTTTTTGTTAACAATTCACATTCAACACAATATACCTTTTGATTTATTGGTAATTGATTTATTGGTAATGTTTAAGCTGTTTATTTGTTTTCTAACATTTATTTGGCTTTTTCTCGGAATTGTAGCGGCATTTTTTTCGTTCTCTTATCTTAATACGCTCCACAGTGCCCCACAGGACCCCAAAAAAGGGGTTGGAATGTTGCTCTCTCTCTCCCCCTGTGCATTCACCTTCCTTTGCCTCTGACGTTCCCATTTCTCCTTCTGCAGCAACAAATTGTTTGGCATTGCAGAGATACGAAGTTTCGTACTCCATCGATGCGGCATATGCAGGCACGGAACACACCCTTCCATACGACCCCCTCCCACGATTTATGGTGGTATTGGGGGGGGGGGGGGGGGGGGGGGGGGGGGGGGGAATGTGTAGGAATGGAATGGGTAGGCTGAGTGGCATGTACAGTAATTAGAGCGGGATAGACTGCTGTGTGGGAGGGTGTCGATACATATCCCTCCCCTGCTCTCTATATATCAGAAATCCTATACATATATTCGATGTTTCCTACATATAGCCTGAATATATGGAATCATGGCTTAAAAGCAGAGCAAATTAAATTTGAAGTGGTACACAGTAAACCCCAGTACCACAGTAAACACTCGTGAAAATTAACTAAAAGACCCAAAGTTCCAGTTAGCTTTCGATCCTGGGCGATGCTTTCGTAGCTGTTCTACTCATTAAACATTATGAAGCTTTCGATCGTAATCCAAGCTGAAGAATCCCAGTTGAAGTCCGAGTAAGGGGTGTTAGTTTGAGTATTGATTACGAATAGTTAAAGAACAATTCATAACAAATGTTGAAGAGCCTGGATAGCTCTTGGTTTTAAGTACAATTAAATATTAGTAAGAAATAGCTTCTTGGCATCCTCTTAGCTAACGTTTAGTTTATGCTTTAAAACCCCACGACACCAATATGTATAATGGGAATGCACATCCCTTTGCCAACCTCATTCCTTCCTGAATCTCTTCATCTATTTTTGGATGTGCAACATTTTTGTTGACACACAAAATAAAATCAAAACGAATGACCTTGCAACACACACACATACACGCAGAACACACGGAAAGAGTGCCTCTTATGTGCAACATCCGCAACATCAACGCGTTGTTGCTGCACACACAGCCACCTACACACCCACACACCCACAGAGTCATGAACAAAAGAGAGAAATGTTAAAAATATTCCAAAATAAAGGACAACATTTTAGGGCCTATCAAAGGGGTGACTTGCCAAAGCAAACGAAGATCAAAATAAAAACAAAAAATTTGAGATAAAACTGCCCCACAAAAAGGACGAAGAGAACACAAAAAAAGAGGATAATATATAAAAATAAAGGCCGAACTTAAGAATACCCTCGAATCGGCTCGCAATCGACATTTTGAATTGAATGGACAGAGGAAATCACATTAATTTATTCACATTTGATGCGAAATATTCATTCACTTCAAAAAGAGATCATGTCCCATAAGCGAAAGGACACAAACAGATATATGTAGTTCTCCATAATTTCACTGACAAGAAATATGTTCAAGAAATTCTGACACATACTTTTGATATGGAAGAAATAAAGAGGAATATTCCTTAAAATCAACCAATTTTTTGGTCCTTTTTTTTTAATTGAATGGAAAATTGTAATTTTCACGTGAACTGGGTATTCGAGTACACAGGGTATAATCATAACCACGCACTATGTGCGAAAGAGAGCACGATAGGGGAAGCAGAGAGAACGTGTGAGGAGAAGGAGTGCCCGGTCAGATATTTGATGCTGCCCTAGGCGCATGCGTCACAATAGGCCGAATGCAATAACAAAAGAGAAGACAGCGATACATAAGCTGTTTTTCCTCCAACACACCCCTTTCTCCTAAATCCATGCAGCCACTTCATTGCAGCACTGCCGTTTGTGGGAGTGGCAACCATTTGGGATGAGGCCGCGCCACAGTGAAGCGTATTTGTAGGAAACCCGCACAGGTACCTCAAGGGGCTGTGTCTCGGCTAGCGTCCAAGCGCATTGGTTGGTGACTCCGCTAAGCAACAAGTGAAAAAATAATGAAAAACAAGAAGGAGCGTGTGAGACGCTTCTTACGCGTCACAACTTTTATACTCGGCACTCAGTACCACATCTGCACCTTAGCTGTTATTTGTCAAATTTTACATTTTTTCTTCATCTGTCATCAACAACACTACTCACACAAACACGCTTCTTTAGCTCGCCGCCCTTCCCTAGACCCACACACTGCAGACTCGCGGCAGAGGCAGCGCCCGCACACAAAAACAAAAGAAATATAAGCTGCTGGACGGGGTGGGTTAAAAGTCGGCAGTGGCAAAGGCAGAGGGACGGCAGAGGCAGAGGCCGAGTGTAGCAGAAGCAGAGTGTGAATGAGAGAATGTGAAAGGAACAACAAAAGCTGCGGGACAGGGTGGGTTTATCCACAATTTCTTCATTCTGGCTATAATAATGATCAAATCGGATCCCAATTTGGTGGTCTGATAGTTATGGTCATTCCCTACGGAATGACGTTTTCAGATTTATTTTATCTTTAAAACTGTAGGTTTGGGAGGTTTTCGCCCTTTTGCAGGGGTGGAAAGGGGCGGGGCTAATTTTTGAAATATAATGGTTTCAGTGTGAGCATACAGCAATCCGTAGCCAACATTTGGTGGCTCTAGCTCTTATAGTCTCTGAGAACTAGCCGACAAACAAGACGGACGGACGGACAGACGGACAGACAGACATGGCTCTATCGACTCGGCTATTGATGCTGATCAAGAATATGGGGTCGGAAACGTTTCCTTCTGTGCGTTACATACAACCGTTATTCACACAAATACAATATACCCTATTTACTCTTCGAGTACCGGGTATAATGAGCCGAAAAAATAAAATATGGTATGGAGCAACGCACTTTGCATACTTTATAAAAGTCTCTCATGCAATTATGTAATTTTCTAGAGTCTAGTCCTTAAAAATTAAAATATTTTGTCCATTTAGACAAGAACAGTTTCTGAATAACTTTTTATTCCATTATTGGCCCTCCTAGGGATATGAATTTCAAACGTAAAGAGATTATAAACTGGTTCACATGTTGTTTTTGCGGCTTTATAAGCGTGTGACGGAGTAACAAAATCTTGCTTAACAAAAGAACAACAAAAATATTTAAAAAGGGGACACTTCCTATCGCTTTGTTTATTTTGGAAGCGTGGAAATAAACAAAAATAAATGGGATCTGCGAGTGATCCTCTTCGTTTAAAGAAAAAAAAACAGAATAAATGTAATAAAAGAAGAAGGGAAAACATGGAATCTTAATTGAGGTACATTTTCGAAGAAATGAGTTCTATATTAATAGTTAGTTAGTTAGCTCTTTATAAAACAAAACTGAAATCCATACCACTCCCACCCCAGCACACCCACATCCGACACACTGCACGGGAAGCGCCACGCCGCAACATGGATCGCATGGCCGTAACCCTAACCTAGCACAACTTTTTCAACGGAATTCATTAACTCTCTCGCACGTCGCCTCCTCAGTCACCGAAATCTGGACAGAGCACGCGGCACGTGCAAGCGAGATGGCAGACGGAAGCACACACGCAAAAAAAAATAAACACATGGTTTCCAAAGCAAGTCACAAAAACAAAAATCAAATGAGAATTTCCTTCTCTACGCTTGGAAGAGTACTTTTAAAAAGTAAGTTCACGGTGGCGGAGAGGAAGGGCTAAAGCAGAGAAGACAGAGTGCAGAAAAGCTTAGCAATGCAATGGTGCATAAGGGGGCAAAAGAGAGCGGCCCAGAGCAGAACAAACAACAATTATTGAATGAGTAGTCGTTCGGTTGCTGCTGCTCATCCGTTGCTCTGCTTTGCATCTTTATGCTGCTGCTGCTGCTGTGTTTTGCCACTTCCTCTTTTACCTTCTACTACTGATGCTTCTTCCATCTCTTTCTACTTCTACCGTTCATCTTCTTCTTCATCGTTCCTCTTCTGCAGCTGTTTTACTCTTTGCTCTTCAGCTGCTGCTGCTTCTTCTTAGACTTCTACTGCTTCTACTGCTTTTACATTTTACATCTTTGTTTGTTGTTTTTGTTTTAGCAACGGTTTGAAATGCGTGTGTTTCTACATTTTATTCTTTTTGGCCATTCCCTCGCCCATTAGTGTGCGTGCCTGGGGGTGTGTGTGTTGCGTGTTTCATCAACAAAGAAAATGTATTAAGTCATTCTGCAGGCACAGTCAGAAGCAACCAGCAAACGCAGCGCAGCGGCCACCCACACACACAAAAACAAAAACGGCACAATTGTTTCTCTTCACTCACCATTTTGGCGCTGCAATTTGTTTGTTGGTTTTGTTTTTATATCTCTACTGATGATTGTAAAATATATTTATGTATAACTACACGGCAGTAATTCGATCACTTCTTTTTGTCTCAATAACACACGTTTTTCCACTTCCACTCTACAGCGTCTCGCCTTTCTTTCGCTGTTTGTTTAACTCTTTCGTCCCGTTTCTTTATCTGGCGTTCCTCCTTCGAGCGCGCTTTCTGTCCAGCAGCAGCACAATACCGCCACCGAGGGTCGGCGTCTTGGGGGTCGTGGCGGGGAAATGATCCACCGTACTCTTCGGGGGGAAACAAAGTTAAAGGCCGGGCCGGGTCGGTCGGTTCGGGGCAGCAGTGCGAGGCCGTACTGGTGGTTTTTCTGCCGCTGCTCTGCGCAGCACGCGGTAAATTATTACGGTTAATTGTTAATACGGTGGCTGCTCTGCCGACGCGACTGCTGCTGCTGCATGGGCCTGCTGTTGTGCCTACGCACAATATAAAAAACAAGTGCTAGAGCAGCACGACAAACGGCAACAAGAATTAGAAGAACGGCCGGAGCAACAACGAAAAGAATGAGGAAGGAAACAAAAAAGAAATCGAGAAGCCGAAAACACACGTAACATCAACTAGACCCTAGGGATCAGTGTGACCGCGGTCTTGTCGATAAAATATACCACGTGACGCAAAATACCGAAGTGTGCATGCTGATTTGCATAATATACCGTAAATGTACCGAGTCCTAAATCAATTAGCTCGATTTTGATATTCTATTTCAAATCACTGCCATGCTCATACTCTCAGCGCTGAAACTATTATTTTGTCTGATTAGCATTCGATGAGGCTGGGACATGGCTCGAAGTGGCATTTCTACACGTTATTTACATTGGTTTTTTGGACAAGAGTGTGACGCATGGAACGCCTTTAAGAATACTGGAAATACGAAAATAGTCAAAACTACTAAGTTAATTATTAAAAAATGCAAGGTGTGTGAGGACAACAAGGTCGTCCGTAGGAACCCACCTCAAAAATAGCAACCGAGTTTCACCACGATTCGAAAAAGCGAAAATTAAACAAAAAATGTGAGCTGTAATATCTGACATGACTAAGATAGATAGATGGAACCAATTGACTTGCAAAAGGTAATGCTTCAGAGAGTATAAAAGTGAGCTTAATTTTATTTAGCCAAAGGCATACACAATTGATAAATATAGAAAAAAAACCATGCTTCTAAGATATTATATAATGAAGAATCCTGTGGTGTTTTAGGTTGCTTCCTCGGGCTGCTGGTGCGGCTGGATGGCCAGGGAGATGTCATCGACGTTGTTGAACTTCAGGGAGATGTTCTCCACGAACTGCAGCTGCTCCAACTGGAATTCGCTGCTGAAGTCAAAGGCCACGATCAGTTTCACAAGGAAGACCTTCATGATGAACAGCCCATACCGTCGACCTGTGTGTGGCAATAAGGAACAAAAGCTGAAGTAAAAAACGACTCCGTTCCGTCTCCTAGGAGGTCTTCACTTGCCAATGCAGGAGCGCAGTCCCTTGGAGAATGGCAGAAAGCTGTAGGAGTGTCGCCTCTGCTGGCCATTGATCTTGGGCACCGATGATCGAGAGATGTCCTCGCCCTCCGGCGACTGATCGTCCTGGTCGAGAAAGCGTTGCGGATCGAACTGCTTGGCATTGTCGCCCCACCAGGCCTCGTCGCGCTGCATATTGAAGGTGTCCAGCACGATAATGCTGTTCTGGGGCACGACAGCCTCGCGCCCCGGCAGCTGGAAGTCGCGGCTGACATGCCGCAGGTTCATCGGAACAGTGGCCAGCAGGCGCAGGGCTTCGCTGACAAAGGCATCCAGGTAGCGCAGCTGCTGCAGCTGCTCCAGCCCGACATGGGTGGCATCCGGACGGGAGCCCTGGCCCTGGTCCGGGAAGACGCTGGCAATCTCCGCACGCAGCCGCTGCTGGCAGTCGCCCTTGTGGGTGGCCAGGCAGAGCAGAGCCAGCATGATGCTGTTCGATACCGTCTCAAAGGACTGCAACGATTCCGAAAGGGATTAGTGGTTCTGCCTGCTGTCATTGGAGGCTACCTACCACGAGGACCATGGACTGGGCCTCGTCCTCGATCTCCTGCAACGTGAGCTCTCCGTTGGCGGCCAACTGGAAGATCTGCTCGATGAAAATGCGCCGCTGCCAGGCGCCTGAATCCTCGCCAGCCTCCTCGCTGATGGCTGCCCGTAGCTGCCAGTTTCGATGCTTGCTCTCCACAATCCCGGCCACAAACTCCACCAGCAGCTGATTGCACTTCTCCGCCTCCGCGTACAACTCGGGCGCCAGCAAACGGTGCAGCAGATCGATTTGCAGCCACGGCTTCACCACTCTAATGGCTGAGATCTCCAGCAGGCTGTGTGTGGATCGAAAGTCAAACAGGCTGCTGCCGCAAATCCTCTACCGCTCTACCGCTACTCACCGCTTGTAGCTGGAGGCGATGTGAGCGTCATCCGTTTGTGTGAAATTCGTTGGTGTTCCCATAACAGTCACTGAAACGAGGGAACGAGGATATCAGACAGGAGTGTTACACTCTTTTTATTTGCTGGCTATCATGGCTATTAGGCCATGAGGAAATTATACTCTCTCTCTGCCTCTTTAATGGTTACCAAAAACCAACCACCATCAATTAACGTTCATAATTTATAGAAATAAATAAACACACTCATATGTATGGGCGAGTATGTGTCTAGTTGGTGCGCGTTTTGGACTACGTGAGTTGCATGGAAACGAGGGAAACGTGTCGCACCGCGAAGGGCAGCAAAGGAAAACATTGCGAGGTCTGTTCCGCAATGCGGTTTCAATGTTGTGGGAGAGAGATTTTGTTGGGGTTTACTCACAGCAGGATACCTCGAGAACGGCGCGACTGAGCATATCCTCGGCATCGGTGAACTTCACGGCCCGTCCATGGAGATGCGGCTGGGTGGCGAACTGCTCGACCATCTGATTGCCCACGGCATTGAACACATCAAAGAAGCTGGCCACAATGTTGTGGCTAAAGGCCGGATTGAGCTGCTTGCGTCGTAGCTTCCACTTTTGGCCTGCAATCGAGCATTAGGACTGGAATCGACTTCACCTAGGACTACTACTCACCGCGCGCATGCAGCAGCCCGCGTTTGGCAAAGAATCCCTCCTGCATGAAGGTCTTGTCCAGGCACTCTGGGGCATTCAGTATGCTCTCCATGCCGGCGGGATCATCAATGTAGACCAGCACCCGGGTACCAATCAAGATGGCCAGCGGTCTCTGGAAGTACTTCCGCATTTGTGTCACCCGCTCCAGTATGCCTGTCGTTGGCAGAGCGGAAAAATTACTCTCGATGCCGATTGGAAATGACTGGAAGACTCAACTGTTTGGATGCAGATTGATGCAGAGCAGGAACCACAGGATCGGCTGCTGGACCACGCCCCGCCAACCGTTCAGCTGCCAGATGAGGCGCCAGCATTTGCGCTGCTGCCAGCCAAGCAGCAGTGCCAGCGCCGTGCCACACACCCACAAAGCCACATACAGGTGCATCGTTTTGTGTCTGGTCTCGTCTGGTCCGGCCTAATGCGGTGCTTTGTAGGCAGCTACCGTGCTGGTCGCGTCACTCGTTTGCCCAATTTACAATTTCCTTCCCACAATTCAATTCCGTTCGTAGAGCAGTGGGCAAAGGCAAAGGCAACCGCTCGGTTGGGCCAGCAGCAAACAACTGACAAGCTATGACGAAAAGCTATTATAATGTATTTATTTATTATTATTTGGCAGCTGGAGAGAGTGAGCTCATGTACATTACGATTGACAAAACGATCAGCTGAGCTGAACCGCAGTACTTGGAAACCATTTTTGACTTTTTGCAACATGCAGCACTTTCGGATGAGGAAGATAAATTGCTAAATGCTTGATCAACTTTTGGCAGACGGTGCCACGATCAGACTTTTATACTACTAGCAGTCGTACTTGGAGAAATTAGGAAAGAACCCTTGTTTAGAAGCTTAACATAGCTATGGGCGCGCCTCTATTAAAACATAAAGCATACTTTTCTGGCGAGTTCGGCTGCAGTGCTAAGAGATTCCCTCGTAGAGTCCTACAACAGTTGAGTGAGTTTGTTTTTTTGTTGCTTGAATGTATTTGTATATATTTATATTTATTTACGGAATACAATTGTAAAAAATATGGTATGTAAGCGCTAAATGTTTAATAATAATTATGAGGCAAATGTTTACATTTTTCCTTTACTTTTCTTCCGGGCTTCGTATCGGGAAATTGGAAGTGTGTATCGGGTATACGGAAATTAGATTGTGGCTGGGCTGGGGCTCATGAATCTTAGATATTGTTCATGGGGATCTTATCTGATCTGATCTGATCTGGATTTACATATGTGTATGCGCATGTTGCATGTAAGACCCCAAAGCGGGATTCAGTTGTTTATGTTGCTGTTGTTGGTGGAACAACCTGTCGTTGTTTTACAATGTTTTCTTCTTGTTTAATTTTATGTTCGGCAAAATATCCAAGTATATATTTTTGTTTGCTTTTTGTTTTGTTTCTTGGCATTTCTTCTTCCTCTTGTATATTTACTATAAAAATACCGTAAATGGAATACAAATACAAATACAATGTGGAACAACACTCGAAATGGTTGTTGGTTCCTTCACTAAAGTGCCATCGATGCATGTACAATAATCATTATTAATTCAAAGAAAAAAAAAAAAAACACATGTATATATATATATTTAAAGACACTCACTCACACACGCACGCGCACACACACGCACATGCACACACAGATGGGCACAGGATCCGTTGGGATCTCGCGCTTGACATTCATTCATATCCTGGGGCTTACGACTTACAAATAATATCTATATATATATATATACGTATCTTGCTGTGTGTTTCTTTCTGCTGTATTCTGTTTTATGTATAACTGAAATTAATATTTCACCTAAGCGCACGGTTTTCAGACAGGGGGGTGGGGGATTCTAATGGGATATACAGATAGAGTGGGAGCTCCTCCAGAGAGCAGTGCATAAGTCATCTAATCAGTACAATAGATCCGTCTTCTGTGTGCCCTCGCTATAGACAACTCCACCGCCGGGCGTCGCCGTTGGATGATAATCGTCCTCCTCTCCATCCGCATCGCAATTGCCCTTCTTGCCGCCGGCTCCATTTGTGGTCGCCTGTGCTGCGTCCTCCTCGTCGGCGCAGTTGCCGCCGCCATCCTTGATGAGACCCTCGCCGAGGCCCACAATGCTGCCGTTGCCATTGAACAGCGTAGTCGTTGCCTTGCCGCCACCGCCACCGCCACCGCCGCTGCTTCCTCCTCCACCTCCACCACATGCTGGACTGCAGCCGTTGCTGCTGTTGTTGCTGTTGCTGCCACTGCTGTTGTTGCTGACGCCGCCCCCACTGCTGTTGCTGCTGCTGCTGCTGCTGTCGGGCGGCGCGTATCTGGTCACACCCAGCTGGAAGAGGCTGTCCATCGGTGAGGCCTTCATGGGCGTATAAAAACCCAGAGCCGTGGAGCCTGCAAATTGAATTCAAGATTAGTCAAGATCTAGAAAAGTTTACCAAAAAGTTGCAGGACTTTTTATTATTGTATTTTTTTATGGTTTGGGTTAGTACGGTAATCAAAAAGTGGCACCAAAAAATAATATATAGTAAGTATTTATATAAAAAGAGGAGTTTTTGAGGGTATTTGTGTGCGTGGATGTATGGATGGATGGAGCTGTGGTAATGGTATGCAAATGAATATTGAGGGATAAGATGAGAGATTTCTAATGGATCGATAAATGATAATGACAATGGATGTTGTGCCAAAGGTGTGTGCTGTGTGTGTGTGTGTGTGTGTGGTCTAATCTGGGGTTAGTTACCTTGGGAAGTAATATGAATTGGCGATTAGTTTGGATTCGATTAGTTTTTAGGCTTCGTTGCCATCTGGACAGAGAGCAGACAGAGAGCAGTGCATATCTATATATATTTGTTTTTCGTATTTAAACTTTATTTTTTGGCTTGGTTAGAGGTGGTGGTGGTGGTGTGTGTTGCACATTTCATATATATATTTTCTTTGCAGATTTTGGAGTTTATTTTGTTGTTGTTGTTGGTTTGATTATTAATTCATATTTTGCTTTGATCTGGGGTGTGTGGTTTTTCTTTATCATCGCTCCAATTGATCGCTGTTTTGCCACTCATTCTTTTGGGGTTTTGTTTTCTATTTTGATTTATTTTTTTAGACGATTTCTTGTTTAGATTAATTGTTGCGTTCACACACGCATTTGATAATACATACATATATGTAGATACTATTTCAACGAACTTTTGCTTTTGCTTATGTATGATGTTACAGTTAAATAATATCTGCAAAAGAAATTAGTATGAACAAACAAAATAGAAAACTAGAAAGTACACAGATACGAGGAGGAAGCTCCAATATGAACGGGAAACAACGCAACCCAACTAAAAAATATAAAAACAAACGCACAAACCAAGACAAACAACAAACAACAACAACAACAAATATTTGTACGTATTTATGCATTGGGAAATGAAAAGCGTGTATGCTGTGTGTGTGTGTGTGTGTCTGGAAAACACTTGTGGAAACAGAAAGAGACACAGAGAGTGTGAAATGTGAGAGCGAGCGGGAGCGGGAGAGCGAGTGAGGCACGTACATATGTATGTAGCTAGAGGGAGATGGGGGTTCTGGCACTGGTTGCTTCTAGTGGAGGGGGGTAATCAGGTGGCAGGCAATTGCAATCCAATATGGTAACACATACAGCTCCCCCCTCCCCTACACACACAAAATGTAATCGAATGCCGCAAAATACATAATTGGCAGCAACAAACAAGAGTACACACTGACACACACGTCTGAAATTACAAAAAATACATTTTACATTTACATTTGGCAGTAAATCCGTTTCAGCAGTCAACGATAGTTAGTCAGCTGGTGGGAGTTTCATGCATAACAAGAGATTCCTAATCAACTTTCATATTCTTATGCATTCTGCTTACATACAACGAGAAGGGACGTGTGAGACGCTTCTTACGCGTCACAACTTTTATACCCGGCACTCAGTACTACATCTGCACCTTAGCGGTTATTTGTCAAATTTTACATGTTTTCTTCATCTGTCATCTACATCCTTTAGCTCGCCACCCTCCCCTAGAGCATGAATAAACTATATAAGGAGGTCTCGCAATTGCAGTTGGATATCATTAAAGACTAGAATATATTGTTATTGGACTGAGAATTTTGTTATTGAATTCTTAGGCGCGTGCAAAGTGCAACACTTTTGGAAGATCCGTGAGCAAGAGCAAACTCACGTGGATTGTATCATAAATTGAACGAGTGCAGAATTACTCGTTAACATTTATCATCGCTGGATGATTCAACAATATACTTAAGTGGCATGTATCTAGTATTGTCGCTTGCCTTCAAACAAGTCACGCAGTCCGTCCGTTTAGTTTTGTTTGGAACAAGGCTACATATAATAACTACAGTAGAAGTTCGAGCTATGTCTATCATTATGGTTTACATTATGTAGCCTCTATATCATTTGGGATGCGGGTAATGTTAGTACATATACAGTTATAGGGATATTCAAGGCCAAGAAATCCATTCCGCTGTCCAATTTTCAGTGTGATTTTCCTCTTTTGATCAGCTTTTCCAGTGCATTCTTGCAGCAGTATCTGTGTGCATCTTCCACGCATTTCACATCGTATCATATGTACATGTGGATCCTCCATCGAGTGTTTTTGGTTTGGGTTCGAGTATAGTGTGTGTGTATTTGTGTGTGTTTTGTTGTATTTTGTTTTCCTGTTTCCGCATTGAGTTATGGTAGTGAATCGGGTTTCTATTTATCACAAACAACCAATTAAGGGAAGGTGGTGATGGGAAGGCCAAGCGCACTCTCGCGTTATTAAGCGGTTTCAAGGATTTCGGGAGCGGATCACCAAATAGCCACCACACATTTCAACGGGGGGAGGGGTGTTTTTGTTTTTTTGTTGGATCTTTAGCCTAGTTTTAATAGGTTTATTTTATACATATACATATATGAGTAAAGCTTTTGTGCAATGCCTACGTTTCTCTGGCACTTTGCAGTCAAACGGAGTTTGGAGAGTCTTTGAAGGCTTTTGGAGGCTTGCAGGCATGTGGAGCGTTTATTTATGTAACTTTTTTTTGTTTTGGTTCTGATTTCTGTTGATTCGCATTTCGGTTTTTAGACATAGTAGAGCGTGGTGCCCGGTATGCGTGCCTGGAGCAGGGCTGTGCTGGCATTGGGTAAGGCTAGCGATGACGGCAGACTCGGCCGACGACGCGACTGCTGGTGCTGATGCTGCTGGCTGGCATCGCTGCTGCACTGGCTGCTTCCGCTCCTGCTACTGCTCCTGATCATTTTTTTATTTGTGGTGCTTGTGGTTCGGTTTCTGCTATCGGGTATTTCATATTTACTCTGCTGTTGCTGATCCTGATGATAGTTTCCCATTGAGAAGGAGGCCGCCTTTCTGGGCTTCACTTTAACGGGCGGCGGTGACTGTGCCGGCCTCGACTCATTCTGCAGGAAGCAGGCATACTGCGGCTTCAGCAGAACCGATGGCCGTGCTCTACGCTGTTGGCAGTGGAGCTGCTGGTGCTTGATTTCGACATTTGATGGTAGTGCTTCTGTTGCTGTTATTTTTGGTTCCTGTTGCTGTTGCTGCTGCAGCTGCAGCTGCTCTGGTTCCTGCTGCTCCAACTGCTGTTGCTCCAACTGTTGCGCCTCCTCCTGTTGCTCTTGCTGCTGCTGTTGCAAGATAATACCCCTCCCTAAACTTGGGTAATCTGCAAAATATGCGTGAGGCGAAATTGAATGCCCTTGCCTTTTTTGCGAGTTCATTTTTGAGTTTTGTTTTTTTTTTTGTTTTCTTAGCTTTTGGGTTTTTAGGGTTTTTGGTGGCAGAGAGACAGAGAGATAAAGAGAGACTGAGAGCTGTGCTGTTGGTCTATGGAGAGGCTGAGAGAGTGACAGAGAAAAGTTGAGAAATAGCTTTGGGGGTTTTAGGGACTTGGCAGGAGGACTGGGCAGGTGCTGGCAACTGCTTGAGCTTGCAGCTAGAACTTTATCCAAAACGGGTATAAAGGTGGATCCTTCAACCCACCTGATGAGCCTCGTTAATTTGCGAAATTGTGTGCCAAGGACACGGAGCTTTGGCCAGCAGCCCTTGCCCATTGTCCTAATGGCATTTGCCCTACTGCCACACAATGGTGGGACTGAGACGGAGACGGAGACAGAGTCAGATATCGTGGGTGGGTCGTTGCGTGTGGCATTATCTGGAAATTGCACAAAACAGAGATCATTTCTGGTTTCTGGTTGAGGGTTTTGGGTTGTTCTTCTGTGTCCCTCGCTGCTACAAAACAAACAAACAGAAAAGGGATAAACTCAAAGGATATTGTACATATATTTATGTATGTTGATTGATTGATGCAGACACAGTTGTGTACGATAATGATGATTGATGTTTGATTGATGGCTTATTAAGAAAGAGTCAAATCAAGAGCACAGCTTAAAAAAAAATAAACAAAATCAAGGATTACAGGGACAAAACAGAGACAGATAGATAGATAGAGGCGCAGGCAAAGGCAAGGCAAGGCAAAAAGAGAGAGAGAGAGAGAGAGGCAAACATAGAGTACAAAAAACAAAGAGAGAGAGAGAGAGAATGCGTGTGATAGAGAGCCATTCCATTCCATTACATTTCTGTTGCATGCCACACACACACATACGCACATACACATACACATACACATACATAGATGTACTTGTTTCGGATCGTAGATATCCAATATCCAATATTCAATCCGTTCCGATATTACTTACCCAACGGTAAATTCCCCAGCATATTGCCCCCTCCACCGCTGCCACCAGATCTGTTGTTGCCCACCGTCGATGCGGGCAGCTCAATGATCTCGTCCACAGTAACATGATGATGCTGCTGTTGCACCTGTTGCTGATGCTGTAGCAGCTGCATCTGTTCGGCCAGCAGCAGCTGGTGATGCTTGCTGACATGGGAAAAGGGATCGGCATAGGGCGGATCATCGATGACCATCGATGCCTCTGACGGGTACTCGAAGGTGGAAGTCAACGTGTCGTTAAACTGCACGCGAAACTGTACACACAAAAAGAGGAAACAAAATATTAGTCACAACAGATTCAGATACAACAAAGAAGAGCCCCCCACAAGGAAGAGGATCAGCTATTCCTGTCTTTTAAGCAGACTTTAGTCGAAGCAACGAAATTACTCATCTACTTATAGGTTATAGCCTCTTATCGATACCCAATTAGTGAGTCACGGGGCGACCAGCAATGACATTACGTTCCCTCCTTATCAGTGCCACAGCAACAAAAAAAAAACTGTTTCAGATTTCCTACATGGATTTCAATGTACTAATAATGTACATACAAAGGTGCCCGCCGCCTCAAACCCACCGATCATATCAGTCACATTTGATGAAACGCACCCGACCACTCGTACAATGTACATTATTGAAGGAGAAAAATGAAATGGAAACCAAATCCCAAAACTAATGCAGTTTGATTAATGGCAGATAACCGATAAGGAGCACAGTGGAGACAGAGAGAGAGAGAGAGAGAGAGAGAGAGAGAGAGGGTCGGCCAAGAGCATGGCCACTGCTGCCACTGGGCAGGGCCATAGCATAAGTTCCCGTTTCTCATAGACCGGTCTGGATCTGGTCTTATCGTCTTACCGAAATCGTGGTGGAATTTCATTTTTTGTTTCCCATTTTCTCACTCGATCGAAAACAAATACCGCATTTGTATAGCGCACCCCCACCACAACACTCTTTGAATGTGCATATATGGAAAATAATCTTATCTTATCCCACATTCAGGGGACGCACACACACAATAATAAATAATTGTAACAAAAATAGGAAACTGAATTGGAAAATAAAGAATCCAATGGTATCTTTTGGTCGTAGCCTTCTGATACCGCCAATTGAGTCATGGATCGATCTCTGTTGCTGCTTCTATGGGGTTCACTCCGCTTTGAACCTGTTTCTCATGCATGGATGGGGTGGGTTGGGGTGTGGTGGGAGTCCCCTGCTGTTTCCTATTTCCCATCTGATCCTGGGGCTCTGATTCACTCTCTTAATGTGTATTTTCTATCACCCACTCTACTCACCGATGACTCTTTGGGTTTCTGGCGTATGCTGGACTTGCCATCGATCACAATGTTGGCATTCTCGAACTCCACGTCGCACGGCGAGGGCGGGCACAGGGAGTAATCGTCATAGTCCGTATCCGTGGAGGTCTCCACCGATAGATCGCCCAGCAACACGAAGCCGGGCTCATTTGGCTATAGAGGCGGTGGGTGGCGGGTGGTGGTGGAAAACAAGAGAAAGAAAGAAAACAAAAATAAAGATATGAAAATGAGTTCAAAAAGTGAAATTCATGGAAAGCTTGATCATCATCATCATTATGGTACCGAAGTACTGTGACTCATGCCCTGCGGAATGGATGGCTGGATGGGATGATACCTTAATGGCTTTGGCCTTCCCGTTCCTGTTTCTCCCTCCCTGGGTCCCGTCCCTGTCCCCGTTTTATTTCCATTCCATTCCCGTTTGCCCCATTTCTGACAGTGGCCGGAGACCGACCGCTTCGATCCATATGCCAGGCCCCGAAAAAAAACCAAAAATACAAAAAAAGAAAAGATAAAAGCAATTCCGAAAGCAGATAAAAAGAGACAAAAAAACTCCAAAGCATAATAAAATGCAGTGCAGCCCGAAGAGGAAGAAAAGCAAAAGCCAAAGAGAGCAAGCGCAAAAGCAGCGGCATACAGAATCTGGCATCAAAAAAGAATTCGACAAAAATCGAGTTCATTTCCAGAGAGACGGAAGACAAGACACTGCAGAGAGCAGGGCAGTGGCAGAGGCAGAGGCAGAGTCAGAAGCAGAGCGAGAGAGCGAACGGCACACGGCATTAAACGGGTTTGCCAACAACAGCAACCGGTGGATATTTTGGGTGTGCGGGAGGGGCGAGCTGGTCGGAAGAAGAACTCAATTCAAGCTGAAGCTGAAAGCCGCAGTCAAGCCGCTGAGAGAGCAATCTCAACATGGCTGCAAAAGAAACAGCTGTGCGGTTGCTTCTCAGCAGATCTCAAGTATCAAACATTGCATGCCCGGCCCTGTCACGGCATTTAAAGAGCCACCTCCAGAAAACTAAAGCTGTACATATGTACTTTTATGCATATGTACATAATATACATAACATACATAAGCATAATCTTTGTTTCCATGGGACAGCAGCAGGAAGCAAAGAACAAAACGGAGAAATATCTTTTTGTGGCATATAAAAACTGGTTATTTCCCTTCCCCCCCAACCACACAGACTTTGAGACGTTTTTTCTTTTTTCTCAATGTAATCAAAAACTGCAGGCAAAAGAATGGAATAAAATGGAATATGCAGAGAGAGGCAAGAGCCAGGGACGAAGAAGAGACAAAACTTGCATTTTGCTTTAGACAAAGAAATAAGTCTGGGAACACACAAGCACACACACACACACACACACGCAGATTTATGTACATACATATCCATCGATCGGAGAATGAGAGATTCAAGGCAAATTCTAATTGACTCTTGGCAGAAGATCAATGAAAGAGTGCAAGAGGGGATGATGCATGAGCACACACCAATGGTTTGCCTGGGAACCAGAAAAAACATTTGCGCCGTCGCACATCTGCTGCCACTTCTGGTGCCGTTTCAGCTGCTGGGAAAGAGTATTCAATCTCCGATGTACAATACACTGAAAAGCTTTTGTTGTTGTTCTGGCTCTGCCTTGTTGAACTTTCGAAATGCGCATGATCGCTAGCTCTGTGCTTGTGTGTGCTTCTGCTTTGCTCTCTTTCCCTTCTACCCGTTTGCGCGACGCTCTTCTACGACTGTCTCTCCCTCTGTGTCTGTTTTTCTGTTTCTGCTCGTCTGTGTATGTTTGTTTATATGGCATGGCTGCCGTATGACACAAAAAAAAAAACAACAAAAACAACAGCAAAAAAAAAGAGAAACAAATGGAAAAATAAAACCATAACAACAAAGATATTGGGGACAGCCAACAAATTATTATCAAGAAAATAATAATTCACAAAGTAATTAAGTATGAATAATCCGCAAGGGCGCCACATTCCATGCACACGAACCCACACATCCACACATATCTAGTCTGATAAGACTATACTTTCCGAGGGAATGAGAGGACGCTACTTCCAATTAAAAGCGAAAGGCAATGAAGATCCCCACTGTTGCCCTCACTTCCATGTATTTCCTGGACTTCCAAGGTAAACCGCAAGAGAGCACGGGACTCCCACTCCCACTAGTGCAGAATTTGGCATTGGAATGCATGCACACACACACACGTACACACACTCACCTTTGGCAATTCCCGTTTACGCCTGTAGATCACAACATCGCTTTCAATGTAGTCGGGCACTTCTTTGGTGCTCTTGGAGAAATTGAACACCATCGAGGTGTTCTCTGTGGAATGGCTGGAAGTGGCCGACGTTCCTGCCGCATGATGACCAGAATTGCTACCGGCTGCATGGCCATGACGCAGCTTCCGTAGTGTCCACAAGGGCGAGGCTGAGGCCGCGTCCGTTTCGCTGCCATCCCGTATCGAATTTATCACCGTATCCAGACTAGTTATGGGCGAACCCGCACCGGAGCTGCCATCGTTGGCCAGTGCCGAGGACTTTTTCATTTCATTAATGCGATTCTTTTCGATCTCGCGACTGGTTAGCTGCTGTGTCGTACCGCTGCTATTGAAGAGCGGCCGTATCACACCAATCTGTTTGGTTGTTGTTGTTGTAGACGTTATCCCGGATGATCCAGATCCAGATCCCGATCCTGATCCCGTTTCGATGTTGTTCAGCTGTTTTCTTGCGATATTACTTCCACTGGGAACATGCGCGCTCTCGATCGTGGCAACGAATGATCGCTGGGCGCCTCCTGCCGCTGTCGCCGCCGCCGCCGCAGCCGTCGTCGTCGTTGCTGTGCTTGTGGGGGGCTTAGGCTTATCGCCTGCCGCGCCCATATTATCGCCATCGTGCCCATTGTTGTCGCTGTCGTTGCGGTTGTTGTCGTTGGCGATGTTGTCGTCATCCCCATCGTTGCCAACATCGTGCCTGCCATTATTCTCATTCTCATTCTCGTATTCGCTGTTCGCTTCGTTGTTTGTCGTCGCTGACGCTGACGCCGCTACTGCCACTGACACTGGCACTGCCACTGCTACCGTTCCCGATGCCGTCGCCGCTCTGGCCTCGCTGACTAAGCTCTCATTCACAGCCGACGCGGCTGGCGTTGCCTCACCATCAGCGTCCTGCAGATTGATGCGTCCCATCAAGTGGCTCAGCGCGGTAACGGGCGAGTCTACGACGCTGGCCAGCTGCCGCGGAATGATATCGGGATGGGGATGGGGTGTGCTGCTGCTGCTGTCAGAGATCAAGGCCGAGCGTGTCGCCTGCTTGGGGGTGGACGCAGCAAAGCCCACACTCTGGCCGGGCTCACGCCGCAACAGGGATGGCGGTGTGCTGCCTACGCTGGGTGCCGGAGATCGCTGCTCCTTGAGGATCGACTTGTAGTTTGCCACCTTGCTGGCCACACCGCCCACTCCGTTGGAGCGGTGGGTGGAGCGTGGCCGACGATTGGCACTCGCCTCGAACATCTTCAGCGTCTGCTTGACCAGATCCGGTGGCGGGCGCTCCGTGTCGTCGATGATGGAGGTCAGACGCTTGGGCGGCGCCGTATCCGTCCCACTGTGCAGTCGCTCGCGGGCATTGTGGATCTTGTCCTCGATGGTGACGCAGGTGGGCGACGCAGCGCCCGGGGAGAGAGCCTGTGGTGCAGTGGGCATGGCCATGCTTGTCGCCTGGTAGCTGGCTCTCTGCGTATTCCATGGCGACTTCTCGCAGAGCAGCGCCTCCACGGAGCGGGCACGCTTCATTACCTCGTTGCCGCGTTTGAAGTGGCGTGAGCGGTTCACTCCTCCTCCTCCTCCTCCATTGCTGGGCTTTGTGGAATCTTCGGTGCTTAGCGCGGACAGGGTGGGGGTTGTTCCATTGGTGCCCAGACTAACGGGACGCTGGACCGGCGCCTGGGCGCCCTTGATGTAGCCACCGCCAAGCATCGTCGGCTTGGCACCCAGTATCGGCGGCGGTGTGGATTTGGCCCGGGTCGAGACCACCTCGAGACCGGCATTGGCATTCATTTCCTCCTCATCGTCGTCCCGATCGAGCAAAGTGTTGAGGCTGGTGGAGCGCTGCAGGCGCTGCTTCTGGTTCTGCTGGTGGGACTCGCGCAGCGCCAGGCTAAGGTAGCGGCAGCGCAGCTTCGACACGATCCCAGGCCCATAGCTCAGATCCTCGCCGGTGTCCACCAGCTCGGGCAGGGCCACACCGGGGGCGGCCTCTGTGTCGCCGCTGTGGCTGCTGTTGCTGCTGCTCTTCGCGATGTGACGGTGTTGGCCATTTTGTTTTGTCTTTTTCATTTCTTGCATGGCGACCATTGTCGTTTTTACCGTTGATTTGGTGGGCGACAATTGTTGCTGTTGCTGTTGTTGTTGTTCTTGCTGTTGTTTTATAAACTTATTGCCCTGCAATTTATCGGAAATGAGCTTTGTCTTCGAACCGTTTTTATTATCAACAAGAAGCAACGGTGTTGCTGGTGCTGCTGTTGCTATTGCTGCGGCTACCTGCAGTTCTTTCTCTTTCGCGGTGGAGCTCGTCTGATTGGGAGCCCCTTCTGAAACGGTCTGTCCAAGTTTCGTTTGCAAGTGATTTGCTGACGACGACGATGTTGGCGCTGCTGCCAGTGCGCCGACGCCGCTGCCGCTGCTGGCGTCGATTGCTGTTAATGCTCCAGTTGCCGCTGCTGCCGCTGTGCCAGTTTCAACTTCACCACCGCCGCGAGAGCGGTAACTCACCATGGAGTCAATCTGCTCTCCCGGTTCGCGTTCGCTCTCTCGCTCGCGCTCTCTGAGATCCAAATTTAGAATTTCTGGCTCCCTGCTGCCGCTGAAGCTGCTTCTACTGCTTGTTGCTGTTGATGGACTTCTTGTGTTAAATAAACTTGATCGCTGCTTTGGTATTGGTATTGGTATTGGTATTTGTGGATTTCCAGTGGCCGTTGGCCCAAACGTTGTTTCAGCTGAAATTGAAAAGGCCAACGCTGACGCTGAGTCTTTGCCTTGGTGGAGCTGCTGCTGCTGTTGCTGTTGCTGTTGGGTATGATGACCTCCAATTAAAGATTTCTCAGACTTTTCCTCTGTTGGTGTAGTCTTAGGCGCTGCTTGCATTTGTAAGTGTGCTGTTGCCGTCGCTGGCTGGCTTACATTTCTTTTGGCCAGCGGCTTCTGTTGTGGTTGACTAGTGATCGTCGCCTCAGTCGCAGTCGGTTCTGCAAAGAAGAGGATCGAGGATCGAACTTAAAATATGAAAAACAATTTTGGATTCTGCCGCTGCCAGACAACAACACCACACCAGCCTCCCTAGTGATCTGGCAGCCCTTTGGGTAGCACAGACACTTTTATATCGATACACAACACAGAGCTGCTGACTCAGGCGCAATCGATAGCTGCGCGGCTGATTCGAATTCCATTGGTAATGGAGTTACTGATATGGTTTCAGATACAAACAGCTGGCAATTATTTTTTATTGTTTTACCCACGAAAACAGAAAACAGAAAATATTTTTCAATCTAAATCAATACACAGCTTTGTAGAGATTGTGTAACCCGAGAGCCAGACGATCACTCACCTGCACTGGCGCCTACTCCTCCGCCTACTGATCCCCCCGATGCACTCGACTCCCCCAAGGCCACATCCACATCGGACGTAGCTGTGGGCGAGGCTGCTGCCTGGGTGCGGGCCACATTCGTCTTGCGGCGCTGTATGAGGTCCTTCTTCCACTGCGGCATGTCCGGCAGGAAGCCCGACGTGGGGGAATATGCGCCCGACATCTCAGCTGTGGCAGCACCCATTCCAGATCCAGATCCAGGTGCCGATCCAGATCCTGTTCCAGCCTCTGCCACTAAATGCAATGAGGGCCGCTTCGGTTGGGACTCCATTCTCTGGTGACCTTATCGCTGCAAATGGCATTATGTGCATTAGTGCATGATATGACGTCTCGCTTCTGCTGCTGCTTGCTGCTAAGACTTGACCCGGCCGCGCACCCACCAAAACTAAAACTGGAACTGCGACGGACTGTCCGTCGAGCTGGAGCTGCGCTACACTGCCCAAAGCGGAGCATAGGCCTCCCTCCCATCAATCATTGCAAGACATAGACAGAGTGACAGAAACTGAGGGCATCTCTCGCACACTCAAGTGAGCTTCGTGGTGGCTTCGTGTGTGTTGTAGGGCATCCAAAGTTCGACCTACCAGTCGATTCTCTTTTTAGTTTTCTTAATTGGATTAACCGTTATTTTCTGCATTAACACAAAACAAACGAACACAACACACAAAACACAAAAAAGAGGCAAGAATGTAGGAGAAAAGAAGCAAAGGCGCGAGACAAGAAACCCCAATATTTCCGCTGCTACAAAAAACTGCCACAAGGCAGAAGAGGCGAGAAAATGGAAAACTCTTTTTTGCCCAACGCCCCCCCTCCCACCATACTATAACCAGCCAATTGTTACGGCTAAGATGGCTGGCTGGCTGGTTGGAATTATTTTCTTCGGCTTTTGCATACCACTGATAAAAACTGATTATTTTTTAATTTCCCATATCACTGGAATTGCTATCTGGTCTCTAGTCAGCCTGTGTGTTTGTGTATAACTGTGCATTGTGGCTGCGTTCATGTGTGTGTGCGTGCGCGCGCGCGCTGAGCCAAAAGGGGTGCTGTGGTGCTGATACTGCTACCACAGCTGCAGCGGGAGTGCGATAGAGAGAGAGTGAGAGAGGAGAGGGAGAAAGGGGCTGGAAATTGCAGACGAAGCATTAAATAAATAACTGACGACGCGCTATCGATTTTTTCAGCACAAAATTCATGAGCTGCAAGAATGCAATTATACACACAAACACACACACACGGATACATGCAGATGCAGGCTTTGCAAAAAAAAAAAATTAGAAATATAAAAAAATAGAGAGAGCGCCCAACTCTGACATACAAAACTCTGGAAGCGGAACAAGAAATAGCACTTGACAACACACAAAAAAAAACTATTTGGCGGAGGGGCCCTAGGCCACAACACGGCCATGGGGAAGCCGGGTGCTATTTACACACATAAACAGTTATTGTTGATGGCAGCGGCAGCAGCAGCAGCAGTACCAGTGAGCAGCAGTGGCGGCAGCGGCAGCTCATGAATGAAATTTACAGCAAATAGTTCCTACATTTGCCTCCTCCTCCTCGCACCACTCTTTTCCTGTGGTTGAACGATGCTGTTTTGCTGGTGGGGCTGCGGCGGTGCGATGGTGGTTGGTTTTTCTAGCCCGTGTATGTGTACATGCGTGTATGTATGCACATAACTATCAATAAGGTCGGTTAAATGAACTGCTATTTTGTGTGAAATGCGCACTTTCTTCGTACCCCGCACTGCACTGCACTAGTGGTCGGACTGTCACTGTATGTGTGTCTGACTGCACTTGTCTCTCCTTCTGTTTTCTCATCAAAAATGCATGTTTTTCCAGCCGAGCCAGCAAAAAATTGCATTAAGCCGCGTTCAAGACCAATACACAAATAAAAACCTATCGTGCTATCGTACAATCGCAGCGAAGCGATATGCACAGGGCTGCCAGCGTGCTGAAACGTGGCAACGCTAGCCCCAGCTGATTGAAATATTGCTGTGAATAAACAAAAGAGGGGACATGAGCATAAACTGGATAAAGATTACCGAACGGTAAATAGAAACCAAACTCAGGTGTTCGTCCTCTCTTTATACTGTCACTGTCCACCCAATCAGGGCCCGGGAGGGCATCAAAATCATCAATGCCCTGCCCTACGACACCTTCAACACGGTTCTCTGGTACACCCATCGCCAGATGAGCCCCGGCACAGCGGCTGCAGCCGCAACGAGCACCGTGGGCACCAGTGTCACCACCACAGAGCGGACCGACAGCAGTGCCGAAGACACACCCACCAGCAGCAATGAGCCGGAGTACACGCTGGAGGAACTGGAGCGGCTGGTGGGTGTACCGCGTGCCGACTTTTTGCTGCTCATCAAAACATTCTCCTACATCCTGCGACGCATCTCCACGTTCATCATTAAACCGAGTCTACTGCAGCGCGAGCTGCGCGACAAGCTGCAGCTGGAAGACGAGGCCAAGATCGATGCCATTCTGCGGCTGTGGGTGCGCGAGACAACGCCGATAATGGAGAATCTGGCTAGCCCGCGCTACGAGTCGAACGTGGTCGAGGATGTGGCGTGGAAACTGCAAGTAGAGGTCTCCTCGCACTGCCAGCAACGCGACAGAACGCCAATAGGCGTGCTGCAGTTACGAACAGCAGCGGGGGAGGACATTAGCTCGGAGATGACACATCCGGAACTGTTGCAGCTGTACAATCAGTTCGAGCAGATTCAAGCCGAACTCGACGCCACGCTGGCCATGTCGGAAACGGTTCCGGCTGCATCAGCCAGTGGCGGCCAGTAGGAGATCGAGATTTATTTTTTATATATTTGACTAAGGCTAGGCTCCTTTTTATCTTCCTATTTATTAATATTGCCTTAGACACTCCATTAATGCTGTTGGACCCCTGTAAATCCTAGATAGAAATCTACAATAAATCAACCCACAATGCCAAACGTTTTAGCAGATAAATAGAAACAAGATTTTACACATTTTACAGTACACTTTAATGGTTTGTGGCCGCATGCGATTTTTTCCTTTGCTCTCTCTGTTTTGTTCATTTGTTTGGGGATCTTTGCACGACTTTTCCTTCGATCATCATACATATGTGTATATGGAAATAATCCTACTGATAAACATTACAAATTATTACAATGATATATATTTTATATATGTCTATATTGTATGTATGTATGTATGTATTATGTATATGCATATGTATGTATTTATGTATATGGTATGTATACATATTAGTTGTTTATTCGGATATTCATGCATTATACAGACTTTTCATTATTTTATGCATATGTATGTATTTATGTTGTATGTAGGGATAGGGGCTGGGTGGGGGGTTGGGTGCTCCTCCTTTCGTTGTTTCTTCTGTATACTTCTCCCGGCACTAATCTAAAAGCAAAACTATTATTGAGTTCTATTGCACCGCTTCTCTTTGTCTGTCTCACAGTTTAACGTTTAAACATTTTAACTAACTTTTCGTTTATGTTTATTTAGTTGAACAAATAAATCAAGTACGAAAAATGTATGCAAATTATTTGGACTACAATCTCTATTAGTTTACGCTTTTCGTTTCGTTATTTTGTTTGTTTATAATTTGTTCTTTGCTATTTCGGTTTGGGGTTATATTTTTCCTCAGGCTTTGGCACCGGCTATCGTAGTAAGAGCCCTCTCTACATGGGTGGGGCAATAGTTGTCTACCCTCGTCTATACTCTACAGTTGTTTCGTGGGTTTCTGGTTGGCAAGTGATTATCGCCTTACAAAAATGCGTTGGTCATTCGTTATTTGTTGTGGTGCATCCGTAACCAAATCGGTTTCTGATTTCCTTCAACATCGGTGTTTTCAATTACGTTTATTGTTGTGGTAATGTGTGTCTTGATCCATCCTATGGTTGGTTATGTGCGCGCCAAAAATTCCAAATGAGCATAAAAAATAATCATCTGTTGTTGCATTTTGCTGCTGTTTTCTTTTTAAATCAAATGTAATTTTAAAACAAGACAAAATCTACAAGTAGCACATGGTACATACAAATAAGAAATTAACATAAACTCTCGCACTTACAAATGGTTTAAAAAATTGTACAAAAAAAGAAACAAACAATCAAAAAAAAAGCCATACATACATATTTAATATGTTGCGGAGGAAATAAAATATTAAAAAAAAATAAACTATACACTTGCAGGGTTGCATCGAGATATCCAAGCAAACATTTGATAATTTTAAAAACTATTTAACTCAATTAATTATTGCATTTTTAGTGTGTATTTGTTTTTAACGTTTGTTTGTTGTTGATTTTTTTTTTGTGCGGCCTATAGTTTGGGCTTTCAGTTTCGTTTAGTTTCTAGTATTAGGCATATTGTTTATCCAGTATCTGCTATATAGGTCTTTATATCGTATTTTGTATTTAATATATAATTAATCAAAAAAAAAGAAAAACGTAAAACACTTAGCGCTTTGCTCGTCACAGTACATACAATTAATTATCATATATCGACTAACATTAGGGTGTACAAAAAAAATTGGAAGATACATGCATATAGAGTGTGTATATGTATGTGTATACAAATATCAAATTGTGGCTAGCGTAAAAATACAATCTTCTCTATCCAACTCGTGCTCCCTCCTCTTGGTGGCTTGTTGAAGCAGCAATTACAGTTACAATTACAATTACATATATTAGACATAGATTTTAGTATATATGTATATAAAATGTATAAATTGATGCGTGTTTGGCGAGATTGCTGCATTCCCATTTCGATAGATCCACTTGTCGCAGACCGGTGTAAAGTAGTGTACTCTATATATAGTTATATATAAGTGTATATTGTATATCCAAGTATTAATATCAAGCGTTGATCATCCATTCCAACTGTCATCTTCCATCTTCCATCTTCCAGCTACTGCTCCTGCGTCTCTTAAGTAATTAATAATGTACGATAGTTTTGCCACATGATGGTTGGGTTAGGTTGGGTTTTGCGTTTGGGTTGGGTTGAGTTCGTCTCCTCTTCTGCTTAGGCTGCTCTGCTCCATCCACTCGTTCTACATGCCCGACTCGGCAATGCCCTCGTCATCTGTAAGATATGCCAACATTTTCCATGAGCAACATTCATTTGGTATAAAAACTTCTTAAGCACGTAGCAGGCATGCATGTTAGAACATAAAATATACAAGAATATAAGCAAAAATACACATAAATCACATGCAACAAAAAAATCAAATCAAATGTCAGGCAGGCACGGAAAAACATACGAGTAATAATATAGATAGTTGTCAATAGCTGCCATTCTACAAACCCATGAATGGATTGGCATAGATAATGCCGCCGCCTGCCTCTGCGCCACCACCAGCGTTGATGTTAATGTTGCCGCCACCATTGCCCCCCATGGCTGTGCCAGCGCCAGCGCCGGCGCCAGCAGCACCAGCCAATATGCCATGATGCAGCCCGGTCTTGCAGTGCTTCGTTGTGGCATAGTTTGAGTCAGCGTCGCCCATCAGTGTGGCAATGTCATCGTCGTCCCCGTTGCGTGTATTGCAGCTGCTGCCCAGCAACTGGTCGTAGCAGCTGACATCGGTGCTGATCACATCCACCTCGATGTCATCGTCATCCTTCTCCAGACTATTCCGATTGCTGCCACCCAGGGAGGAGTGTAGGGCGTGGGAGTCCTCGTAGCTGCCACCGCCGCTGTCATCGTTGGCATTATTCGATTTGGCATCGATGTGCGTCTCGAACTCATCGTGCATGTACAGCTCAACGTCCTCTTCGTCGTGATCCTCATGCACATTGAGCTCCTCTTCCTCCTCATCATCCTCCTCGTCGTCGTCGTCGTCGTCGTCGTCGTCGTCGTCATCATCCTCATCCTCCTCCTCCTCCTCATCGAGCTGCAGCTGCGGCACCAGTTCACCCTCTTCGCCCACCTCCACGCCCAACTCCACCTCGAGCAGGGAACGACGTCGCACAAAGACCTCATCATCCTGTGGATGCTGTGGATGCTGCTGAGGTATGATCATGACATCCTCTTCGGCGAAACTGAGACGAACATTGGCGCGACTGGCGCGATTGCTGCCATTGCCGCCGCCATTGGAGATATGCTCATGGCTGAGACTGTTCTTAATATCACAGGACGATGAGCTGAATGTAATCAGCTGTGATTTGCGTCTATGCTGGAGCGTATTGTAGCCATTCCCATGACCATGCTGCATCCCACCCATCGATGGCTGCGGCTGATGCTTGGAATCGATGATATCGAGATTACTCTTGCTGTCCTTGCAGATCATCGAGCTGGGCTTGTTGTCAACCAGAACGATAACGACAGAGTTGTTATTATCGCTCTGATTGACAACCGAATGTCATCTGTCCGGTCCATCCGTTAGATTGTTGCCAGCCCCGCCGCCAAAGGAGCTCATCGATGTGGTTGTGGGCAGATTGAGGCTCTTGTGGCCAATGAAGCTGCTGGTAAGTGGCTGCTGATCGTCATGCAGAATTGCCGCATTCTCATCATCGATCTCCTCCGCCTCGGCCTGCTGCAGTTCATGATGCGACAGATGACCCTCAATGGTGGCCACCACATCACCGTTCTCGTCCAGCTGCACCACTTGTTGTCCTTTTGTTTTCATTTTGTATAGCCGCAGCAGCAGCAATGGGCAATGAATGGGAAGAGAGTTTTGTTAAGTTAGTCATTTAGTTAGCCCATCACCAAGAGGTAGGTCTGGTCGGCAGGATATTCAAATCTAAACTAAAAGAATACAAAATGAAAACACAAGTTTCAGGCTCCATCGATCCCACATCATGTCCCTGTTTTCTTGTTCGGTGTTAGTCATTTTTGTGTGCGCGCGCGAGCGAGAACTGTTTGAAGCGTAGGTGGAGGGGGAAGGAAGTACTTAAATGAAAAGACTGATCCGTCACATACCTTCGTAGCCCTCGTTGTCGTGCATCTCACGCGCAGGACCCACAATATTCTCCTTGCCCTCAAGCACCGCCAACAGGCACTGATGTATGCAAATGTATTGCTGCTCCGTTTGCACCATCCAAACGCGCTCTATGGGTTGAGACAATCAATTAGACAATACAGATTGGTAGAGTATTGGCTGGGCAGAGGCCCCCAAAGTTAGCTGGCAGCCAGCAGAAAGCGTCTCCGACATCAGATTGTAAATCTGTTATCAGTAACAAATCAGTTTTCATACGGAAACGCTTCCTTTCAGCTCTGGGAGTTGCACTACTAAACAAAAAAAAAAAAACGAACGCACCCTTTCGCATGGCATAGACAATGCCAAAGATATCCACATAGTCGGAGGTATTGATCTGCTGCAATATGCGATCGAGTGTGATGAAGGTGCCGGATCTACCGACGCCAGCGCTGCAGTGCACCACAATTGGACGCTGCTCGGCACCGATGCGATCACGGAAGGCGCGCACAAAACGCACCAGCGTCTGTGGTGGATTTGGCACACCAAAGTCTGGCCAAGTGGTAAAGTGGAAGTGCCTCAAAATGCGCTGCTCGCTGCCCTGTAAACAAAACCAAAAATATATTTAGAGCTGCTCCCGCAGATAAGATCAAATCAAATGAAATCCGTTTTCTTACTCTGCAGAGCATAAACTCGGTCATGACCCAGTCGGCATAGTGACTATCGTTGAGTATCTGGACCTTGATGTCGCCGTAAAACACTGGAACTGTGTCATTGGGCCAGTACTGATCGCACTTCTCCCTGCCCTTCTCAAAGCAGCGTGTCAGCATCACAATCGCCCGCGAATTGCTCTCCCAGCACATGCGCCAGAAGTCGTCACGCGTCGAGTGCAACGGTCCCTGCGTGACAATGAATTCACGGGGCGAATTGTGGCCGGGCACATAGTTGGCATTGATGTAGTCGGAGCCCTCGTCATCGTCCACAGGCTGGAGCTTGAAGCGCGAGTGATCGTAGGGCAGAATGTTGGTGAAGCGATTCTTGGGACGATTGCAGGGCAAATCGGCAAAGGTGCAGGGCTGGTCGCGTCCCACATGCTTCAGTTCCTCAAACTCCTCGCTGAAACGGAAGTCCGAGTCGGCGGACATCAAGCGATAGTGCTCCGCAAAGTTCTTGATCAGTATGGGTCGATTCTGTTCGATGACGCTGTCCGGCAGTGACATGTTATCGTTGGCCCTCGAGTCCTTCGTGGTCTTGCGGCAATTGTTGCGCCTCCGCTTGTAGAACATCAGTGTCACAAGCAGCACCAAAATGATGGTCAATGGCACAGTGATGGCCACAATCAATGAGGTGTTGTCCTGATCTAAAGGTCGAACAACGAATCGCAGGATAAGTGACAGATTCCGAGATGGTGTGGGGGCCAAAAAATCAAAATTGGAAAGGATTCTGCAGCAGAAGTACATTACAAAATCACTTGGAGCAGCTCCAAGGAACTCTAGGAGCAACCGAGGTGCGCTACTGCCTAACGCGCAATACGCAAAACAGATCAATTTATAAGAAATAATCATCTTAGGTCGGTTCTAAGGATAATTGAGTGAAGAAAAACCAAAAACTAACGAGAATTTCACATAAAAACTCAGTGAAATTTGAACGCTTACCCGGAGAGCTTAGCAGTTCTATGAACATAGTTCAGAACAAGCGAAAGGCAAGACATGGACAACAAGTAAGATGCATTAAGGAAATTCACTCCTATGGGGACTCTCTTGCTTACCTGTCTGAATGGGGAAACTGTAGGCAGTGTCCGTGAACTTGTCGGGTCCGGTGAAGGCGCGCACTTTGACGCGATATGTGGTGCCAGACTTTAGGGGTCCGTTGCAGTAGCCGATCTTGTGATTGTCACAGTTCTCGGTGCCAATGGTGAAATCCTCCACGGATATATTCTCGAAAGGATAGTACGGATCGATGGCTTGGTAGGGCAGCCACACGCTATACGATTGAACGTCGTGCCAGCTGGGCATCTCCAGGCCGGAGGCATTCTTGGCATCATCCTCTGCCACAATGATCGTGTACATGCGCACCTGTCCATTCTGGTCGGAGAAGTAGTTCTTGCGGAAACGGATTTGTATCGTTGAGGAGCTGCGATACACTTCGGTGGGCACCACCTGAGTGGCGGGTCGTGGTGGCGCCAGTATGGGCATCGTCTGCCTATACTCCCGCTCCGGCCCAAAGCCAATGGCTGTCTTGGCCTGTATCTTGAAGACATACGTCTCGCCGGGCTTGAGGTTCTTGATCACACCGATGGACTCCTCGGAGTCAAAGTCCTGCATGCCGGCATCCGTCAGATTGTTGATATTCGTGTACGCAATCGAGAACTGTCGGATCACCCCATTGGCCTCGCTGGACGGCAGCGACCACTCGAAATTGATCTCACTTGGCTGCACATCTGTCGGATGGAAGCGCTCCACCCGTCCGGGCACTGCCTCATTGGTGGTGAAGCTGGCCGAAAGCGGTGAGCTGCTGCGCAGCACCGACGACTCTGTACCGGAGCGCACCACCACCGTAAAGGTGTAATTCCGATGCGGACGCAGATCGTTGATCGTGATCTCATTCCGTGTGGTCATGTTCTGGGCCAGCAGATTGTCGGCCGTCAGGTAGGCGATGTCAAAGTCGTTGTACTCGCCCTTGGGCAGGTCCCAGCGCAGTGAGATTTCCGTGTCCGTAATGTTCGTGGCATGCAGCTGGGTTATGGGCTCGGGGTACAAGCGATCCTGCCGCTGTATGGGCAGACTGGCCACCCCACCGCTCACAGTCCACACGGTAATGTTGTACAGTCGTCCGGGCACCAGGCCCGTGAAGGTTACCTTTCGGTCCGTGTCGTTGGCCAGCTTCTCCTTGTCCTTGATCTCGGCATCGCCCAGCGAGAAGCGATAAATGTCAAACTTCGATGAGGATTGCGGCGTGGGTGTGTAGCTCAATGTGATTGTCTCACGTTCATCCTCCTTCTCGCCATTGGCCACCACCACATCCGACTGTATGAGTGGCATTGTGCGCGGATAGAGGCTGGTGATGCCCGACAGAATGCCATACGATGTCGTCTGTATATCAAACTTATACTGCACACCCGGCATCAGTTCGCCAATGAGCACACGCACCGTGGACAGATCATCAGCTGTGGGGGAGACAGATTCAATGTTGAATCATTAACCTTAACCTCTTGCGGGAAACTCTTACCTGACTTATTCTCGGATACATTTTTGGTCTGCACACGTCCGGGATTATCGCTGGGCCACCATTTCAGTATATACGACTCGACACGTCCCTCTGGCTTGGGCCACTCCAGCGTAATGTTGCGCGAGTCCACCAATTGTATGATATTTGAGACGGGATTCGGTGGCACTGTGGTGTTCACCTCCTGGGGCACAGGACTCTCAACGCCAAAGCTCACGGTGTTCACCTGAATGGTGTACTTTTCGCCCTTGGTCATGTCCGTTATGTCCGCCTCCGTTGAACGGACACTGGGCAATCGCACCCACTGCTGTTCGCTGTCCGTTCGATAACGTATCGAGTACTCTGTAAATTCTCCGCTCTCCGGGGGCGACCAATGCACCAAAACGGAATTGCTGCGCACCGTTTCGATGGTCATGTTGCGCGGTGGATTGGGATCTGCAACAATTCAAAGATTAGCTGCGAATCGGGCGGCAATTTGGATTGCCGGCTACTTACAAACAGCCTGGAAGTAGGCATGCGGCTCACTCCTTAGCTCATGGCTGACGGCAAACACCTTCAGTTCGTAGCCGGCACCTGGCTGCAGATTCTTAATCACCAGCCGCGACTCCTTCGTGATGAGAGTGCGCACCTCGCTGGTGCCATTGCGGGAGTACAGCACCTCGTATTGCTCCTGCTTTGAGTTGACATCGCTCTTCCAGCTGATGTTCAGACCCATGCGAATGCTCTTCAGATCCTCAATGATGGGCGACGAGGGTCGTGTGACCACAAAGATGCTCGTCTCATTCGATTCCATCTTCTTGGACACGGCCTGAACGGACAGTGAGTAATTCCTGCCCGGCAGCAGGCTCTCCAAAGTGAAGCGTGTGCGATCTGTGGTCAGGGTGCTGGTGTCTCCATTAAATGTCTCCAGTTCGTGGTATCTAAGGCAGCGAAACAAAAAGAAGAGAGATTCATTAGGGATTCGATTCGCTTGTGCGTACGAGGAGTCTGCTGATTGAAGAAACACTCACACAATGCGATATTCATCCTGTGTACTGGCGGGATCTGCCTCCCATGTGATGACCATTGTGTTGGTCTTGTCATCGTTGATGCTGCGCAGATTCCTCACCGGCAACGGTCGCAGTGTCACATCCCCAGTGGCTGGCCACGAGGTTACCTTGCCCGACACCGTCTTCACGATCACATTGAATGTCTTGCCGGGCTCGGCAATGTCCCTAAAGTCAAAGAACGCAATCGGTTCGTTGCTGCGCGTCACCGTCGACTGTCGTCGTGTGGTGGCCACCGACACCTGATACTTGTCGAACTCGGATATGCCCTTGGGGGCCTCCCATAGCACCCGGAACGAATTGGAGGTGATAAAGTCCCGGTCAAAGGTTACGTTCAGCGGACGCAGCGGCACCGTTCGATATTGTGCTGTCGTCGGCAGCGATATCTCATCCTCGGACATTGTCTGCACTGAAATATTGTAGGCACGGCCCGGCACGAGGCCCTTGAATGCCGCCTGTGCCGGTCCCGGCGGCTCGCCCTCCTTCTCCACATAGAGGACACTGTCATTGGCATCCGGTGGTTCAATGGAGACCTTGTAGTGCGTATAAATGCCAGCGGGATATGGCGGTTGCCACAGCACCAGCAGCGTCGTCTCATTACGGAACCAGACAATGAATTTCCCCGGAGTGTTGGGCTCTGCGGGTAGTTGCGGAATTTTGTCCGAACATTTGGATTACACAGAGAATTGCTTTGTGTTGGCGCATAATTTGCATTCCAGATAAATATTTCTAATATTTTTAGTGCTATTTTATTTCCTACGGTTTTTTTTCTATGGGGCTTAGAACGGGCTTAATGGTACAGTGGGACAGGTCATGCAAACTACGTTTAGATCTTACACCAGTGTTAAATTTGTAATTAAGCTTAAGCTAGGATTAAGTAAGAGGTAACAGGTTCCAGCTAATGTCAGAGCTTACAAAATTACAAGGGAAAATGTGAGTAAGCGAACAAAAGCAGCTTTGAAAATACATCATAGGAAAAATAGAGGATCTATAAAAGTTGGGTATATGAAAGTAAAGCACTTCTTTAAAGAAATATCTAGACAATATACACCTGGAATTGAGGGGGAAATTAAATAAAGAACTAAAGATCTTTTAGGCATAAAGAACTTTGAGTTCTTAGTACGCTAAAGTAGCATCGATCTCTATAAAATTAGAGCAAAAATCGCCAGATAGCTGTTGTATATATTTCTTTCTCTATCGCAAATCTGTTATCCTGGGGGTTTCTAAGGGTTTCCTTCTGCATGCTAAATCTCTCTCTTTCCAGCGTTAGCCTTTTAGCTCCCCACTGTCCCAGTGCATTCTTTGCACCAGGAGTGACCACTGTGCCATGTGTACGTGCAAAACTGCAGAATTTCGAGTGCTTTGCTGTGGTCTGGCTCTGGGAGAAAGTGCATTGCGGTTTGGCAATTGTCGGATTAAAAACGAATTTTTGTACCCAGTTTGGACCACTGGCAAAACCCAAAAACCCCAAAACTCCCTGCTGACCAGCTGTAGTTGCTGTTGAAGCCGCTTGGGTGTGGCACTGGGACCTGGGACCTGGGACTGGCAGTGCCGCTGGGTTCTAGTGTGCTGGGGGTCAGGGTTACGTGCCTCACTTACGGTCTAGTGAGTGCGCTAAGAGAGAGCTGTTTGTGTGGGGAACGCTGTTTGTGTGGCATGCAAATACGAATGGTTTGTGGCATTTTAAATATTACCTCTTAGGATCTTTATGTCCAGCAACTCTTTGTGTCGCGTCCTTCGACCTTTTGTGTGTGTGTTTGTTTGTGTGTGTGTGTGTGTGTGTGTGTGTGTGTTATTTAATTGGTATTTTGTTTTTAGTTACAATGAGAGCGTGGGGAAACAGAGAAGTTAATCAAAGGTTGAGTCACACCATCACCAGAGTAGAACAAACGAATGCCAGTTTCTGTTTTTGAATGAGGAGGCATACTGTAGGCGGAGGGGGGGGGGGGGGGTTTGGGCAACACTCACTTGTGGTAAAATTACGACTCGTATAGGCCACAGACTCTTTGCCATCGTATATGGTGTATGCCTGCACCTGGTAGGTGGCACCGGGCGTCAGCTCCTTTACGCTGTGCTGGAATGTGTTGTCGTTCACCTGGAAGGTGCGATTGAAGCTGCTCGATGCCTCGGACAGGCCCAGCACCTTGATCTTGAATGCCGTATAGCTGCCCTGTGTGGGCGGGGACCACAATATGATGGCATTCTTACCACTCCGCACCTGCACGGACAGATTCGACGGTGGATCGGGTGCTGCAAAAGAGACAAGTCAAATATTACACAAAAATTATAAATCAATTGTCAAAATCATTGAAAATCATTCCCATAAACTCCCTATCTTATTCCCCTTGAGCGATCAGTCTACAATTAACACTTGCAACAATTTCGTAACTAAAAATTTGTACAAAATGTTCGATTGGTCAAAAGTATTCTTTCTGTATGTGGCTCTATCGCTGGCCATCATCGCCATTCCAGTGGTCTTTCTGGTGCACGAGACATTCATTTCCAAGATGCGGCTGCGTAAACACGACGAAGAGTTCCAGCGGCTGGAGGAACTGGAGAGTCAGTGCCTTCTGCGGCAGGAGCTTCACGAGATACTGGATGTATCGGAAGAGAGCCAGATTGAGATATCAACAGCACAGCAGGAGGCGATCGAGTTGATTCCACGCGAAGAGCATTAGATGGCCACTCAAGTCACAATAAATACAATAAAATTATCGTTTCCCCCTGCAACCCCAAACACAAAGCTGCATCTTTCATGTTTTTTTCGGTTTTTTTTGTCAGCTTCCACTTTGCGTTTTAACGTGCATTTAGCTTGCACTCCCTTTGGGATCCACTCTGGGCGGCTCCAAGTTCCACTAGATTCCAGGCATTCATTTAACTTCCAGTCAGCATCCACGCAGTTAATATTCCGTTTCCACTTAGCATCCACTCTCTCCACGCTGCTCATTGCAGTCTCTCTCACCCGCTTGTGTAGCGACAGCATCCACTCCAAACTCTAATCTCATATCTCTAAGCTCCCTTCGAAAAGCTCCTCTCTTGAAAGCTCCCTTTGCTACCTGCCTGTCGATCCATAAAGCCATCGGCAATGCACACAAACGCACTTGTACGTCCATATGTATGTTTGCACATCTCTTTGATCTCGTTTCGTCTCACTTTCTTCATACCGAACGGCTTTGTTGTTGTCTTGCAACATGCTTTGACACTAAGATATGGCATTAATTCCCTCTTATTATTCTGGCAACATTCCCGCAATCCATCCAAATGGCCGCCCACTGCCCTCCCTGCGGTATTGTGTCTGTCTGTGGCGCATGGAGGCAGGCTTTACGTCCATTTCATTCAAACGATACCCTTGGGTCATTTTATAGGCACACTCCACTCTCCACGCCCTGTCTCCCTTGGCCACTTACTCCACTGCTCGCACCCGCTGGTGGTCAGCGTCACTATAGGGCAGGTGTTGGCCAGGCAGACACTCCCCAAGTGCTTGCTGGTCGTTGCTCGCAGCTCGCTCTTCCGTTGTCTGTCACACGCCACGCCATTCACAACTATTCGTGTGCGAGTACGAAGATATATTCTGTCAAAGTGTACCTTTTGTACCATTTTTAATATTAATCAAATTTTTGCATTTAACAAGAATTAATTTAATAAATAATATGGAGTGTTTGTCAAAAGATGCCTTTGGCTGCGGCTGAGGCTGAGGCTGAGGCTGAGGCGTTATGTGTGTGTGGGGTTGGCCATTGTGCCGAACAGCCACGCTGTGGAAGTCTGCAAATTCCAGTTCTCTTTGGAGAGGACACTGCGCGCAAAATGCTCTCCCACGCCCATGTTCTTGAGTTGTTCAATTTTGGCATCAAAATCGGGTAAAGAGTGCGGACCGCCTGCACACGCGTTCGTCCAGTGTTGCGCAGTCAGCAGAAACATTTGGTGGTTGGACTTGAACTGGCGTCCAACCACTGCGTCCTGGGGATCGTCGGGCTCGGGCGAGCCCAGCAGGACCTGCACGGACAGCAGCATGGTGCGCAGGGACATGGCCGCTACCCAGTTGTCCTTCAGCAAGTCCAGGCAAATGTTGCCAGTCACCGATGAGATGTTGGGATGCCAGATGGCAGTCACAAAACGAACCCTTGGCGGGCTAAAGGGATAATTCGGCGGCACTTTGATGTCCAGCACAAACTTGCCCCCTTCGTATGGTGTGTCGGGGGGCCCCGCTATCTCGCCGCGCAGCTCTGTCCAACTATCATTGACCAGTTCGATCTTTATGGAAGACCGCATAATCTCGTCGCTGGTCATGACCTCCTGGAATTCCCGCTGAATGCGTAACACTGCCAGATCCGCCATGGTTTTTGCGTTGTATGATTTATATTTTTATTTTGGGTTTTGGAAATGTAGCTGTAGCTGGGAATCTAACAAACTAGTTTCCTTAATGATTTTCAACTGACATTTTAGGGTAGCCAGGGTACATGCCTACTACGATCATAGTTTTTTCTAATATTTACAAACAAAAGGTTTACGGATTGAATATCCCAATCAACAATATTTCTTTGAATTTATGTAAATGCAGTGGGGTGGAACCCAACGATTGAATGGAATGCTTCTCCTTTACATTGGAATTTCGTAGCCATTGCTGAAATATCCATCGCACTGGTGGGTGCCGTCGGTGGAAAATAAATCGTGTAACGATTGTCTTTGGTCGGAGTTGCAATTTGGCTCATTAGGCAACACTTTACCACTCCCGCACGAAAAGCTTTAGACAATGGGAAAGGCGGGGTATTGTAGGCGTATTGGCGAACTACAATTAGCAATTTGCGGACCGGTCCGGGCGACAGACAGAGTTTTCACCCACTTTGCCTTCCAATTGTCGGACACAACAGGAAAAGGCAATTAGATGGTGAAGCCATTGGAGGACAAGGTCCTAATCCCTAGCCAATGGCTGAAGGGGCTTTAATCCTTGAATGTCTGGCTCCGTGAATGCTTCTCGTATTCCATTCAACGATTAGACACAGAATATTTTGACAGGACACAATCAAGCAGCAATGTGTCCTCTTGCCCGGGTTCTTGCTGAGTTACCAACACTTAAAACACAGCCAGTGCTGGTCAGCACTCTGCTGCAACACAGTTTACTTACCCGTTGTTATGGTCACCGTCCATGTGAGCCAATCGTGATGCGTAAAATTCGTATAATAGAGCCAGAAATTGTATTTGGTTCCGGGCAGGGCACGCGAGAATTGTATCTCATCGCCAATGTCCCTCGAGGCGATGGTTGTGTTCGGCTCCGGATAGCCAAAGGGTGGACTATAGTCCAAACGATACGAGGCACCATCGTCGAGGCCGGGATTGTTGGGTATACTAATGGCAAGATCTGCGCATCGCACATCCTGTAAATAACAACAAAAAAAGAAAAACTTCAAGTCAATTCCAATGATTCAAAGGCCACTTATGCGGTTTATCTCAATAGATCTTGGTATGGTAATAAACTATTTTTTCCCCATTGTTTTTACCTATTGAGGTTACGCTTTTCCCTAGCTATCAGTAGTACCCATCTTGTGTTTTTGTGTGTTAAGTTATGCTTTTGATATTTCCATCATGTTTTCCCAGCCATTGTGTTTCTTTTCTTTTAGAGCTCTATTCTTCATTATTCTTAGCGGTTCTAGCATTTTTCTGTTTTTTCTGTTATTCTGTTTTAAAAATATATTTCAAGAATATTTTCATTGATATTTTTTCTACTTCAATTTTACATTTCTGGCCTCACAATTGATTCGGAGCCACTCTTTAAACTCGTTTTCTGGGAATCCTTACATCTTTTCGATTAACTGTTTGACGTTTTCCAACATTTATTTGCTTTAGTTTCTAGCTTTCAATGATTCGCGCATTATTTTAGAGAACTTTCTGTATTTTTTCTGTTCTTCCAGCGGCGATTTCAATTATTATCCCTACATTTCTCCGAATAATCGTACTTTATTTATGAAAAGTCTCTTTCCTGGCTTTTTTTTTGTTGTCATATTTCTGGCATATTCTGTTGCAGGTAAATCCATGTAGGGTTGCCAGCATTTCTATCCCAACCATAAAAAGTGCAATGACATTACAACAACTACAGCAACGGCAACGAGACACACAAAAAAGAGTGACAATTAAATGGCACACGGCCCGGCCTGCTCCTCTGCCAAATGATCTCCTCAGCTAAGGATGAGGTGGCAATGTGCTGGCTGAATGTTTGTCTGTTGTCCCTGTTGCACTCCACAGTTCTGGTTCTGTGTGTTTGCTTATGTTTTTCTGTCTCTCCTGCATTTGAATGCTGGGTGCTGCTGGGTGCTGCTCCTCCTGTCTGCTGGGTGCCAGACGCCAAATATTAACACCGCAAACAATGAGCCGCCTACCGCCTGCCGCCTGGGTTCTCATCCCACAACTGTCGCAACTGGCGCGCGAAAATGATGCAAAAAAATAATAATGTATTTGGCTAGCGACGGGACACAGATGGTGCACATCCTGCCCGACAGGAGACGGTAGGTAGCAGGGGCTGAGGCACATTAAAGGATTAAAACGACGGAAATGCGCAGTCGGTAGTCGGCGAGGGACTATGGGATAACATTTCAATAGGTTCCCCCTAGCACAATACCTGGACCCCCTCTCAATCGGTTATCCATCTAGTAGGCATCCAAACGCATTCATCCGCACTTTGAATTATTTCATCAAATTGGAAGCACTATCTTTATGTGGCATTCAATCGCACTAATGAAAATTGTGTACAAATTTCACCATAAAAAAAACTATCAGTTTCCATGTTCTCGTAATTTCATTGCGTTAAATGAAATTCCATCAACTTTTAGGGGCTTTTACCCGGTGGAGGAGGGGCTTGGGGCTTTGCTGTGGTAATGGCCGCATAAAAGTTTATAAATAAAAAAAAAACGAGAGCAACTTGGGCATCAAATCGAAAGTGCTTTACGGCACAAAAATCGTGTCGGAAAACGGTGCACAAACAAAATGGCGCCGACAAGCGGTGAAAAGGAACTATTTTTTCCCTTTTTTTGTTGTCTCAATTGAGGCGCTTGATGGGTTTTCAAATTTCGCACTCTCAAACCCATTTTATTTGTGGCAAAAGTTGGGGCACTCTTGTGGGAGTACCCTTTTAAAAATGAATATCACTAGTTGTATGCGCTTTTTTGTAGCTACTTTTCGCGGTAAGTGTTTGACTCCAGAGTTCTTCCAGTACAGTGTCATCCGATCACATCCCACTTTTACACGATAATCTTTCTCACCATTTCACCACAGAGCAACAGAGTGTTTAAGTTCACCACAACATCTGATGTGATCTCCCCCACCTCATTTCTCCGCACCACACTGCACACACACCTGCTCCCTTTACTCCTTTAGGGATTGGCACACACTTCAGGCTCATGCATATGGAAATGGCAACCAATTACTGTCGTCAGTTCACTACACTTCGTTTCACTCCTCTTTTTATTCGTGTAATCAATCAATCGAATCAATTATTTAGTCTATTTTTTTTACTACTTATTTGGTTTTTTTTTTGTGGTGTGGCAGACTCGTATTTGTGTGTTGTTGCTGCAATTCGCATTGCGCGGCGGCGTTGCGCTTTCGCTTTATTAAAGCAAAAGAAAAGCACACACAAAACAAAAAAAAAAAGAAGAAATGGCTAACGAAATCAAAACGAAACATGAAATGTTGGCCCAGTCCAATAACAAAAACAAAAACAACAAAAAACAAAAAACACACGCACCAGGCAGGCAGGCCCCCTTTACAGGAATCACTCACTCTCACCCGCTGGTGCTCTCTCCAGCAGTGGCTGCTCCCCCTATCTCTCGCTCTCTCATTCACTCTCACTCCGCCGCCTGCTGGCAGACTGACGCCTAACTGTAACTCTCTTGCATAATTGATCGTTTTTGTGGCTGCTACTACTGCGCTGCTGTTTGATGATTGCGTTTCGTCTTTCTGCTTCTTTCTTCATTTCTTTCTTCTTTTTTCGCTGTTTTCGATTGTTTTTCTGGTTTGCTGCCACTTCCCCCCACTTTTTGTTGTTGTTGTTGTATTTGGCATTACATGATGCTCAATGGGTTTGGAGAGGCATGATGGCCCATTAGTCATACCCCCCTACCGATAATGATGATGATGATGATGATGATGATTACCAACGGACAGTATGTCAGTCTGGTCACATTATGCAATTAAACATTCGCGCACACACATGCACACGAAGAAAGAGAGGCAGACATGCACGTGCATATGCATGTCATGAACAGTAATGCTCATCCCGCTTAAACACATTCGCATTCACACTGCGGTGCTCTCAATTTATTCCAAATAATACTTGTATGCAATTCGCACACGATATACTCGCAGGTTTTATTTTTTGGACCTCTCCCTTTCCTCTGTCTGCGTCACACACCCCATTCCACATGGCTTTGTGACTCATTTATTGGCTTTGAAGCAAAGCCAAGTTTTTGTCAACTTGCAAATGCAAAATGACAAGCAAAGTCGACCAAAGTTTGCATCGTTGAAAGATCTCTGTGATTTATGGTAATCAGATTTGCTTGAAATTTTGGCAAGCATTCATAGTTATACCCATAGTAAAACTTTATGCATGTAAAGAATCTAGAGTATGTGCAGCAAAATACAAAATAAAATTAAATAAAAGTAATGCCAATTAGCAATAAAAAGAGAAACCTTCGACTGGTGGGCGTTTGAGACTGAAGACTTCAGGACAAGGTCAAAAGCGGTTTGGTTTAAAGTCGTTTTATGGCCAAGGCTTTCTTATGTATGTATGCACACAGGTACATAAATAAAAGAATTATGTATGTATATAAAGTCGGAGATTATCGGTGGGAAAGGTAGAACCTATGTACATTGTATTTAATTCTCGCTCTACTGCTTCACCTTTTTCTGTGAATACATATATTTTTAAACATTTATATAATATTTATTTATTTGCCATTTTTTCGCTGTCAAATGTTTGGCTTTCTGTGTGTGCGTGTGTGTGTGTGTGTGCTTTTAGCCATGAGCAGCGAGTAAAGTAAACGTGAACTTCAACCGGCCAAGGCAAACAGTGGGCCCCAACAGCAAACAGAGTGAAACAGACAAACACAAATCCGGAATGCAAAGCAAACATGTGAGAGGAGAGCAAACAAAGAAGGGAATTTCATTTGAATAATTAAGCGCAGCAGCAGCAACCGTAGTAGCAGTAGCAGCAACGAAAGATACTGTTAGGTTAACAATGTCCACGTTCAACGTTTAACGTCCATCAACGTCAGTCTCTCCTGTCAAGCCATATATCCATCCATCCATCTGGTAGTCATTCATGCGTCTGAAACAATTTTGATAGGTAAGTAGCCACTGGAATGTGTCGCATGGCGCTCTCTTGCAGAGGCTGACAAAGTGACAGAGTGACAGCCGTTGGGGGCAAATAAAAGCTCTAGATTTGAGAAAAGGGGTCAGAGGCAGAATCAAAGCTCTTTAAAATTAACAGAAGTTCGCTCTTTGGAGTTCCCTCAACTTAAATCAGATACAACCTTGAAGGAGCAAAACCAAACAGGAATATAAGCAACAAAGAAAATCAGCGCTAAGGACTAAGGGGGTCAGGATTTCATAGCATACTTATTGGATAATCCCGCGAGAGAACAATTAATAGTCTGTCCATGGATATTAATAGTTTTTTAAGTTTTTCGTTAGACAATTCAGCAAACTCCGAATTGCTGCTCCAAAACATAAGCTACTTACTTCGCACAACTATGTACATTTGTACATATATATGTACAAATAAACCTTCTCCTCAACCACTGCCTCTTCTGCACTCGCTACCCACCCGCTCTCCAGCCAACGCGCTGAACAACAGAGCACCACTTGACTTATCTACGACTTGCATTGGCTGCTACCTGACCAAAAGGCAAAAGCGCAATTAGCATAAAGTACTTGACTGGCGGGCGGTGTGGTGGGGGGTCGCCTGCCAGTCAGACACGCAGACAGTTAGTTATGCATAGTTGTAGCCCATGTGCTATTGCTGTTGCTATTGCTGTTGCTGTTCTTGTATGCCCTTTCAAAAGGTATCCAAAAAGAACATGCATTTGCGTTGAGACTGCAATGTGGTGTAACCAAGTGACTGAGAGAGTAAGCTGATTACTTTTAATTTGCAGAGACCAACATTTGGTTCTGCAGCCAAGAGCAAGTTATACCGCACAATGGCACTTTTCCCGGTTTAGTCGGTATCCATGGTTTCTATGACTTATCGGAAAGAGCATTTCAAACTTCGGCCTCACTTAAAAGCTTTGTACCTTTTTTGCTTCTTACTCTTTTAAAGTGTGAAAAAGTTGGCGTTGGAATTGCTGGTGCTGGAAGAGCGGGAAGGTGCGGGATGGTGCGAGGGTGG